ATATCTCAAGTTCACATCTTACAAAAAGGATTTCATATATTAATGCAGCTCCTGGGTAAACTCTCTTCCTCTCTCTTAAGATATCTACACTAGCATGATGATGTGGTGTTTAAGCTAAAAGCAGGAGCCTTATCAAAGCCCGCAGCCTCTCCCAATTTAAGTGTGTGAGCAGGTCCACAGGTGTGCTCGTGTGATACCAACAGTATAGACAAGAAATTACAACATTTCGTTTCATATCTGTGCTGTCAATCTTAACCGATTTGTTTTCTGCTGTGGAGTAACACCCCGAAAAGGCAGTTTGTTCTGCTCCTCAAATCAATAAAGAGAATTTTACCAATGTCACACTCGGCAAGCAAATCTTTTTTTCCCCCCTTAAAATATGCAAGGCCAATATTACGAGTATTATCGAGATTTACTGATATTACAAAAAGACATAACACTGTTGCTCTGACAAACATCTATGTTCTGTATGTACCGACAAGAGACGGACAGCATGAACTAATAATGCTTTCAGCCATAATTAAGTGCAGGAAGCACAGCACCTGCTAGACTAGAAAACAGCGAGTCAGAGTGAAGCTCTCCGACTGAACTTTGCTTCCAAATCCTATCTGATGAACGAGCTTTAGATTTGTCCAGAACAGCTGTTTGTCCGAGCCTGCTCTCCTCCTTCCTTTTCTCTTGGGGTGTTTCCTGTCTCACCTACAACATCAAAACTGCCAGTGGAGGCTGACCTGCAGGTCATTCAATAAAGGCTGGAATTACGCCAGCACCACATAGAATATGTTTATCTTCCTTGAAACATTGATGTTTGTAGGTTATACGAGTCGCAGTGAATGAATACTGGAGACATATTGCTGTTTAAACTACAGAGACTGGTATGAAACGCTCATGAAATCCTTTGGTAGATTCCATCTCGCAGTAATAAATTAAAACACAATGATTTTTTTTTTTATTATAACTGCTTTACCTTAAACAATAAAAAATGCCGCCCTGGAGTCAGTCTATTGCCTTGTAAAGCTATGACCTGTTATTTCTTAAACGCAAAATCATGTTCAATGATCTCCCCTGTTTGCAACAGTCTGCCTTGAAACATCTTCAGGAACAGATGCTATGAGTTGCATATTTCTAAACTGAACAAAGCATCATGAAAAATGGTAAATATGTTCTGAATTACCAGCATGTGTGTTTTGAAGCCCCAGGCTGTTCTTCCCCATATGTCTCATTCACATTCATCCTAGTGTTTTCATAACCGGACCAAAACCAGAGCACATGATAAAAAATAGATAAATAAATAAAACATTAAAGAACGTAGATCATCTGGAAGAAAGGAATTCCAGTGTTGTGTTTATGTTTAAAATATTACCTAATAATTAGCAACTATGTGTTTAACTGAAATGGTTTGAACTAATAAAATAAGTTAAATAAAAAAATTTAATAAAAAGAGAAAGTAAAATTTAAATTAGACGTAATTTCCATTTTCCCTGCACGACTACTCATAATGCTGCATGAGTCAACTAGCTCACAGTCGCAGCACCTCCAGCCACTCCGTCCGTTCAAGGTGACGAGGGACAAAAACACTGGTGAGGATTTTCCTAAGCACTGCAAAAAGTAGCAGGCCTGTATCAAACCAACATCTGCAAGCACATCAAGAAACATAAACGTCTGCTGGACCAGTTCATTCGTTTCCTTATTGCTGTGCAACATCATAAGAGATATGATAGATCCCAAAGCAATGCAATCTTGATAGCGCGAATGTTAAGATACACAACAGCGCATCAGATACAGCCTGGTGACTAATGGTGAGGAAGATGCCACAGACAGCTTAGGTTTGTAATCTTCTACTGCACGCCAACGAATAAACAGCACATTAGCAGCTTGGAAATATCAATCTCTGAGTGCATTTGAGTAAACGGGATCTTTTGTATGTCACTTACACCATTGAATGCTTATCCAATTACAGAAATGTCCACTAAAAAAGGAAACACACATTTGGCTTCACTGTGTTCTGCCAAGGCCATTGGGTATCCCCGTTATTACAGTACCATCAATATATTTCATGTTTAGGATTAAGGAGGAAAAATACATGGCCTTAGAAACAAAGCAAATACATTAAAAAATAGTTTCATTAACACCAGACAGGAAGGCAAATCTAATTTGGCTTACCATCTTTTTGAATACAGACGCTGTAAAAGCCAACATCCAAAATCATTATGTTAATGGTCATTAAAAAACAATTTATCCGGAACAGCCTGGTGGCCCTAAGAGTTTAAGACACTGACCATGTAATCACAACAGCCCCCTGTCTGGCCTCTGTCTCCCCCTCATTTCCTGTCGGCTCCAGACTGCGTGCTATTTTGAATAAAAATCTGCTGCCAAAACATATGGATTTCTCTAGCCGGTGGGGGGGAGAAATACCTGAGAGAGGTAATGATAAAACTGATAAAAAGGGAAATGTTTCACAACAGGCCTCATGTGACTTGCCATTCAGGATAGCACAGGTGTGCAACAAGTTCAGAAAACTTTGCTGCGCCTGTGCACACGGGCCACAACTCAGAGACGATGATGATTGGATGTCAGACCTTAAAATGTCAGTGTTCAGTTCTCAGGGTGAGGTGCTGTCAAATCTGAAGTATATGACATAAGTCTGCCAGATATGACCTATAGCCCGCAGTGAGTGAAATACACTCTGCTTATATTTTTTACATATAAAGCAGGAATGGCTACCAATTATAAAACCTTTAAATCGCATGTCACTTAATATGTTTCAGAGGAGCATGAGAAAAACAAAAGGTTTTTATTGCAAATAAATTGCATATGAAAATAGGTCAACATTACTGCATATAAACTGCTGAAGAAAGTTTGGTCAATTTAATATATGAGCAAGAGATCACACCTCTTCTTTTAGGGCTGAACTTTTTTTTTTGCAATGAAGAAGTCAGCTATGACGTGGTTTAAGGCTGTGGTACGAACAGGGAGTCATTGAGTTAAATCCTATGAATATCTAACAGAATAATTAAAAGATGCACAAGGAATTTATCCATTTCCTGCTGCCAGGACACTCGCAATGCCTTCGAGCAAGGCACTAAACCGACAACTGCTCTACTTATCTGGCATCAGTACAAGACTGGGTTGTGCAAGCCAACGCCCAGGTGAAACTGTTTTTTCATGTGCACTCTTCTCTCACATGTATCCTCTCCCTCAACCTTTGCTATAACATATACATATATATATATATAAATTTATAAAAATATAAATTATGCTGTCAAGCTGTCACAGAATTCTTCATTCAAAATGCCAAGCTTGAAGTTATCAAACTGCTCTAGATTCTGCATCAAAGTAAGTTTTGCATCATTATCCCTTCAAGCAGCCCCTTAACCTGCTGCTACGTCTGCCTCTCCACAGACGTTTGCAAGGTTTGCAGTGTCATTAGTCTTCCCGCTGTCTTCTCTCTGTATACACTCATTTAAAACAGAAGGGCCATTGTATATTCCTATCAGCCCTATTCCCATAGCACAACACTAGAACTGAAAGAGCTTATGTGTAAAATAAAACACTGATGCACAAAGTTTGAGTGACATAGTGACACACCTGACACATAAAATATCTCAGAATGGGTTTGATTTAGATTTTATTAACCATATTCCTACTTTCTTTTTAAAAAGGATAATCATGTATTTTGATTTTTTGTTATAATGTTTTTTTTTTTTTATATTGGTAAATAGAAATATTAAACCCGTAAGCCCCTGTATGTGCGAATAAAGCCTGCATCACTGAGCAGTTCTGAAAACCGACCAGAAATCTCAAAGTCTCCAATAATAAAAGAGCAGCCACTTAATAATTGAAATATAAAAAAAAATAAAGTAACATCCACCGCACAACAAACAAGTTTCCTCGAATCTGTATCAATAAGTGAACAACAAATCTTACATTTGCATTATAACCTTTGCCGATTTCAGAGTATCCTTAAATTAAACTGAAAATTTAAATACAATCTATTTGTCTTGTAAAATCCAGGGTCCGAAATCACATTTCCTCAACATGCACGACTCCATAACTCCAGTGTGTCCGGATATGACCACCTACTGTGGAGAAATCCAAGACAAATATAACTTCAGCCGAACCTCATCTAATCTACCATTACAGACACATCTCGTATAAAATGACTTGCGTGCTTAATTATTCATCTGCTGCCAAATTTCAAAAGATGAGTAAAATATAGTTCGAAGTTTTTTGTTAAGTGAGTGTCTGGGTGTATGCGTGTGAATGAATTGCCTTTCATAAGTAAATTCAGGGGACCCTTTCAAACTGAAAACACATTAACGATATTTAATGTATTGACATTGTCACTGCGGATTGATGTTGTTTTGCTTCATTTCGCTACCAACATTATTTTGCATTACAGTACCCAGTTGTTAAAAAGTAGAGCTTATTAAGATTAAGCTTATAGAAGTTGATTATATCTGCTTTATTTTAGCTTACTCAAAAACACAGAGCACTTTTATTTTATTCTGTTTAAATCAGGGCAAGGTTTTTGGGAAGTGCAGTTTTAAACCTAGTTATAGTGTCAGCACATTGGTCGTGAAACAGTGTAATATGTGCTGGGTCAAACAGTAGCGGCAGCACTTCTGGACAGCACGCCCTTCAGTGGAACATGAGATATGTGCACACTGCACATGTGGCTGCAGTGAAGGAGTGGGCGTGTCAGCCCCATTCATCCACAGAAGTGAAAGTGAACACATAATATTCACCTTAGAGTCGTGTTTTATTGCCAGGCTTAGTGTTGACAGGGACCATCATACTTTTTTAGCCCTTATAAATGACCTTGATCCGAAAACCCTGTTAACCGGGGAGGTGTTTCCCAGGAGGCCTTAGGCCGTCACACAGTTTGGACTGAAGTGTGACTGGAGGTCTTTGTGAAAAAGACAAAACCAAAAAAAAAAAAACACACAAAAATGGACAAACACATAAAATGTATAGAAGTGTAGACACAGTCAACTCACCGTCTTTGAGTCTAATTCATGGTGTTGTTGAGCTAAGACTTTATCTACACTGGCGGCGTCTGTAAACGTAACAAACCCAAATCCTCTGCAAAACAGAGAAGATGAAAACAACAACAATGTTAAAATGCATACATATCAAAAAAAATAATAATATTACAAAACATTTTTCTTATTGCAAATAACATAGTGAATGTCCCCCAATGGGCTGCACAACAATAAAAAGGCACACTATTCCCGTGACCTTATTATTGTGAGACTATCTCTTTGTGATGCATTGGTAAATCCACATTATGGACGTCCTGGAGCAGATTTGAACTTGAGACTGAGGACACAGCCGATCATGGTTCGCTGTGTTACAGCGTGAGACGGCGCTACACCAACATTGTGGTGCAGTCACAAAGTCAATGTCAAATTGCATTCGGCCGCAGCTTTACAGCAGTGAGCGTTTAAGCTTATCTGGCTTGCTGTGAAACCACACGCAGGCGCGCGCACCCGGGGACACAGAAACACACACACACACACGGACACACACACACACACATGCTCGCGGGATTAATACTCAACACGGACAAAGTGAGAGATATCGTTACATGCACGGGGGAAGGAAAAGTAGGAAAGCCCCGGGGTGTTTTACCTTGAGCGTTTCGTCGTGGGGTCTCTCATCACCATACATTCTCTTATTTCTCCGAATTTACTAAAATAGTCTCTAAGGCTGTCTGTGGAGAGAGGAAACATGTCGGGTCATTGGACAGGAACACTGTGCGCATGCTGCTGTCATTGTGTTTCAACAACAGGAGACAATCACAACAACAAAAACACCCCGCGATGCGCATAGGGGTCGAATAGAGGACTTCAGATGGACGGAGATCAGGAACAACACGGTGCGCACACGCATCCCGCACACGCATCCCGCACACTTCCACCACTGCACGGTCCACACATTCGCACGTAACGAAAGCCAGCGGCCACACAAGCGAGCACTCACACACACAAATGGACACAAACACACACAGCAAGAAGGGGGGAAACACACACACACACACACACGCACACACACACACGCTGGACACGGAGGAAGGAGGAAGAACACTCTCACCTGGTGAGGTCTGCCAGCTGAGGCCACCGATAAACATTTTACTGTAAGGGGAAAACACAACAGAAGTGAGTCCAGATGTCAGTTCGGCCATTTTGACGACTAACTACTTCTAAAAGCGACCTTAAAGGATAAAAGGAGGACTGTGGAAACACATCGGCAGCCGGGTAATTATAGTCTATCTACATTTAAAGGGGGAGGCCACTCTCGATACGAAGCTGAAGCTGTTATATGGAGGAGGGGGGGTGAAAAAAACTGCGTGTGGAAACAAACCCGGTGCACGGTTTAAGTGCGTACCGGAGAGGAGGGGAGGGGGGGACGGATCCAGCACGGCAGTCGAAGTCCTCTTTAAGATGTTGTAACACGAGAAATCAAATAGAAAATCACACGCAGAGGGTCGAAATGCGCAGAAATATTCTTACCCCGGGTCATGCTGGGAGTCGCTTAGGCTTCCGGATGTGGCTTGACTCCCGTCTCCTTCCATGTCTATTCCAAAAAACTATCGGCTGGGACTACAGTAACAGTGACGGACACACACAGATACGGGCTGGAGATATGCAAAGCCCCGCTATGAGAATATTACTGAGCCGGGAATGAAAGCGTCACACGTGGGATCAGCTCAGCCCCCTGCTCCCTCCTCCTCCTCCTCCCTCCTCCCTCCCTCTCTCGCAGCTCCACGCTCTACCTTGGCCCACAGGGGGGCGGAGTCTGCCGCTGTCACCTAACCAATCCAGTTGACGTCAATTCGGCCAATCTGCGAACCGATCCGCCGATTCGTCATTTAATTAGGAGAGAAGTCATTGCTGAAGAATCGAGAACACTTTATCGAGTCGGTGCTGATTGTCCGTGTTCAGACCAAGTCCTCCCCTTTTTAAAGCAGCGGCATGATTATTTTATTTTTTTGAATTTTGAATTTTGAATTTTGAATTAAAGTTGTTTTGTTATTCTTCCACCATTCGTTTTTATTCCCAGGAGAGCAGCAGCTAAACTGGGACAACTCCTATAAGCATGCTAATATTTAAATGATCCTGACTGTTGTGGATCACAGGTGTTTTGACAACTTTATTTACAATACAATACAATGCACACACGTATTTGAAGTATTCCTATCAGTATGCTAATTCCTATTAACATGCTGACATTAAAAATAAAATTGATTCGATAGAATAGTTCAGTACACACATAGACCATGAAAAACAGAGGGAAATAGATTATCAGGTGTTTGTGAGAATGCACAAGCTAAGACATAAAAATAGCTTCAATAAGGTAAACATTGCATGAGAAATAAAACAGATATTATGCAGCACCAGTTTTAAAATAGGTGTGTTAAAGAATATATTGAAGAAGGCATGCAAAATAAATAACTGAATTCAAACAACTGAACTTATATCAACAGAGATAATATTTCTTTTTTTATTGTAGTTAAAAATGTCATCACAATTGCCCAAGTTTAAAAGTCCATACCATAATTGGGTCCTAAAAACAATGCAAGTCTATATTTAGTAACACTTTAATGTACACACTGAAATAAAAGACTTAACAATGACAATTTTGAAATACAGAATAAGCTAAGGGTCAGATGGTAAAATGTGTCTTATCTTTGGTGCCGGGCTTGATTATTGGAGAAAGTCTCCGGAGCCATAAAAATCTGTGTTTAAGCAGGTTTGAAGCCAAAAGGTCTCTGAGAATCTCTGTAGTCGGCCCTGAGGTCTGACCTGTAACTGCTATATTCATGATGATAGCCAACACGGGCTGTTCCTGTGGTAATCAATAAGGTTTGGTAACCATACAGACAGAGGAGTAATTATGGATCTCTTCATGTGCATGACCTATAGCGAGCTGCCAGCTATGGCCTCTACACAATGTATAGTTTGTGGAGATAATCTGGCTCTGCCCTCTCGTGACCCTCAAGAGGAGAAGCTCAGTGAGAAATTAACAAAAGACCTTTGAAATGGAAAGAAAAATCTTTGATATACATTACTACATTACTTTATGCTATTAAAATCAGAAGGAAAAAACTCTTTTGTCCAAATTATGTCTGAAATGATATCTGAAAAGTTGTTTGTATCCATGCCATATATTTTAGCAGAGGTCAGATGGAAGCTTTCAGTCTTGACTCGACTTGACAACAGAAGACATCCAAAGATTTGCATGAAATGTAACATGTTTTATTAGGCACGCTCACTGCTGTTTTTTTTTCCCCAGTAGGCCTGTCTGTGCTGACTGTTCATGGCTCCACCAGAAGGAAATACCTATCTGTCCAGACAGCATGTTTGAAACAGTGAGATAAAGCCCAAAAAAAACACGTTTGACTGTTTAACAACTAAAAATCTGTTATTAGTTGGGAGACACTCCACATTGAAGCTGTCTGAATCTCAGAAAACAAAGGTATAGAAGCAATTGGTGACAATTCTTCGCAGCGTAGCAGTGTCAAAGAAAATGGAAATATGACACCTTGTGTGAAACACTATTATTTATTCTACCTTCTCCGCGCTATTGTTCTGTCCCATTCTGTGCTGCAGTCATGATTACATTACATTATTGTTGCATATTCTGTAAGTTGTCAAATGTGTGGCAGCATCCTACAGCACATGCCCCACAATGAGAATGTGAGGAAATCACATCCACTCAGGCGGCTGCAGAGACAGAGAGAGCAAAGTGAGTGAGGTTAAAAAATGATGTGGAATATGAGCTCTGAGGAACAATGGGCTTTAAAGGCCATCACAAGGTGCACGGAAAACACAGTGGCTTTGAAACATGAAGAGCAACCTCTGTCCTGCGCTCAAACAAAAACACTGGAGGCCCAGGTTTCATGGCGAGAAGAAACATGACAGAAACTGTGCAGCAGATATGATTTACAACATCTGATCAAGGTTTGGGAAATAGATTTGAACCCAAAAACATCCTGTTACAGGAATCAGAAAAATAGTATTTGGTAGCACAGTCCACAAGGGAATCATATTTTAGCAATGTAGGGGGTAAGAATTGAACGAGGTTTGGTTCGCTACATCTCTTTTACACTGATTGAAGGAGAAACATGTATGGATTTTTAAATTGAGCGGTGTTCTCCTTTAATCAGAGCAGCCACCACTGCCTGATGAAGGTGCCTTAAATGTTTATTCCGCTTTAAGCAACATCAGGTGCTCTGACAGCCATGCTTTTGGAGCAGTTGAGAGTTCGGTGCCGAGTGAGTATATGTGAAAAAACGAGGCTTGGTAGCAGTTATAAAGGTGACGATGGTGAGACATTTGCATGAGTGGATGAAGAATTTCAACAAATTACATTTAACACACATTCAATTCGCTATTTACTCTACAATAAAGGAAAATGCAAAGATTTGTGGAATCATTCAATCACTGCTGCAAGATGAGTTGCTTCTTTATTGAGAGAAACCTCAATATGCAAAAAAGAAAGGAAGCTTGTAACTGTGCGAGCTTTCGAGGTGACGACTGGAAGATTCGGGGATGGAGAGAGAAGTAAAAATTGATAGTGTGTGAAAGAGCTGAGGGGGGAAAGGAAAGTGAGAGAAGCAACAGACTCGCTGACAGTGTTATGAGATGCTGTTTTGAGAAGACGCATCCTGTTTCCTGTTGCAGTAATTATTACACACACTGTTCAATCTTCACTATGACCTTGGAGAACAGAGCAGACCCTGCACAGGTCCCTGCATATAATCTATACATGGTGGGCAACAGAACTATGTGCCATGATAAGTAATGCTTGATTTTTGCTTTTGAGGGAAAATTAAATGGGATTTTCCACTTTTAAATATAATTTGCATGATTTTCACAGAGGCTCACCACATGTTTTAAGCATGCAATCCCACGTTAAAGAATCCAATATGTATTAATCCAGCACTAACAGAGAGCTCAGAGTAAATGCCTTCTATCACTTGCATGAATTTGTCATGGACATTATTCAAACACTCTCGAGATGTTGTTATTTCTAATCCGTCAGATTTTACGAATGATTTCATATTGATTCACTGCGGGTGGAATGATCTCTGCTTTTCTCAGGGGGGCCTATTACAGTGAAATTCAGAAATCCTGGAGAAAGCTTTGGTGACGGCTGCAGATGTGAACAAATTGTCTCCCCCTAGTGTCCTCTTGCTTTTTTTTTTTTGCTTTTGCCTTTGCTCAGCCAAAGCTGCTCTCAGACTGCAGGGAGAGGGCCAGACTGAAACATGCATAATTGACAGTCCTATTTCAGGAATTAGCCTCCCACCAAACTGCAGTCCATACCTGCTCTTTCATCCCTGCCTGGATCAAGTTGGCATCCCATAAAAGTCTTTTCTTTTCTCCAGCTATATAGGATTATTTAATTGTAAAGTGAAGAATTTAATTTAACTCTGTTCTCATCATTGATTTGAATGTTTCCCCACGGGTGGCTGTGTAAAAGCCTTGTTGATCATGATATGTGAGGATTACTGGGAACGTCCACCTCACACAGCGGAAGCGTCTGAAGTCAGATCAGTGGGAAGGATGTTCTGGTGATGAGTGATTTCTCTCTCCCCCATTATTGCCTGTAACTACGCGGATGAGTTAATTAAGCTGTGTCAGAGGCTACGCACCAGCTTTCCAGGTAGATGGGCCACTGTGATATTCAAACATCCACATTATTAAAAAGGAAACTGTTATACAGACATTTCAGATTTCACATGAGATGGTGTAAAACACATAAGTTGCTCCTCAATTGTGCTTGTAAATCTCCAAAAATACAGTATTTCCTTGGTACAACTACCCAAAAGCAACCACAGACTATCCTGCGGTTCCCAACAGGATCACAGATCAATCCACAGAGTATAACAAAATACCCAAGGTACATCAAAGTATCCAAACATACTGCACCAACTGAAGGTGCTGCAGAATTAACTGCATCAATTCCTGTTTCATCAGTGCAGTCCAGGCAGCCTTATCTGCATTTGTGACCTCGGCGACCCACGGTTTCATGTGGGGGCTCTTTTCGACCAATCGGGCTCCAAATCAAATGGATGATGACGACATCATTTACCTGCTCCACTGGGCTGAGAGATAAGCTCATGCCCCCGCTGCTCCTCGGAATTTCCTGGCTGCCGTTTGCACAGCTCCGGAGAGAGCTGAGTGTTACAGATGACGACGAGTGGCATTAAAGCACAGCGAGGAGCCGTCCTATCACCTGTACAGTCAGCACAGGGGGAGAAAAGATGTGCACGTTGGACTTTCCGAAAGCTTTGTCAAGAGAGGGGGGAACAGTACAGCCCCTCTCTCTGGGGAAACTGAATATCAAGAGAAGTGAGTATTTTTGGATTTTTTGGATTCATCGTTGCTTCTAAACGGAACTGGATTTTGCTTTTGATTCCAATATCTCTCTCAATCTTTCTCCCTTTTTGCAACAAAGCCAATTTTTTGGTGTGATATGCCCCAGAACACACGTGCACCATGTGTTCAGAGTATGCTGGCTTATCATGCAAATTTCCAGAAACATTCAAGATTTCCTCTTCATAACAGTGTTAAAAATACACCCGTGCACGGGCACAGCTGCATCTGTTGTGACACACAATACGCCTTTGCATGACTAGTTTGCAGAACTCATATCACCAGGTTTATTTTCCTCCTCTCTAAGTTAAAATGCAATGCCTCTGAAAGAAAATCTTCCAGGGGCTAAAAATGGTAAGCAGGCCTCTCTGGACCCACCAGCTAAGTGGTACTTTCTGGCTCTGGCTTTGTTTTCTATCAGCCTCCTCCTTCCTTCCTCCCTCCTTTCCATTCCACTTTCCCTTTCCCCCCCTAACTGGCTGCCATCGTATATTTTCTCAGTTGCCAAACACTTCCTATTCTGCAACCACTGACCTTAATACTGACCTTGCCTTGTCTGTGCCATTGAGATGAGAATGAGAGATACCATATCCTCTGCTTCCCCCCACTTTGCTGCAGGGCTGAATTTTGCCTGTCTCATCAGTCTTCCGGCTGCTAGAGTACGCCTTGTTATTTCTTCTCTAGATTCCTACACATTTCACTTCACAGCTGATCAGCGCCAGAACTGCAAAACATCGCTCTCGGCCTAAAGAGATGGGTGAGCCTTGCTGTATGAATCCAAGCTGTCAATAAATGGCCTGCTGAATGAACTGCGCTTATATATGGTGCTTAGCTTTACACTAAATGCCACGTTCATTAGAACATTCACACATACTCATACATTCCTGACTCAAGGACACCTCGACAGGGTTGGAGGAGCCGGGGATCGAACCAGCGGCCTATCTCCTGAGCCACAGCTGTTTCCAATACAAATCAATTTTATCAGAAAAACTTTATCTGCAGCATTTGAGCATTCGTTGGTTTGATACCAGCCTAATTCTTGGTTATAATTGATATTGAGATGCAAGTTTAGAGGAACTGAAACAGCCATTGTTTTAGCCACAAGAATGTGCGTCAGCTTTGGTTTGTCATGATGATGATGGTGCATGATAATGGGTCTATGTCAGATGCGTAGGCTGCTGTTTGTCTGCTGTAGTTGTCATGTTTTCCTCATGGTTAAGGTTTCCTAAAATGTCACAAATAAGGTGCTTACAGCGTTTAGATGCATCTGTTTAAAATATTAACATTAGTTGGATGTAAGTTATCGATTATAAAGTCCTGTTATTAATTGGGTCAGTAAACGTGAATGCTTTGCTCCAAGATAAACCCACGTCAAAGCTTTTAGTTTTTTCACTTTTCTTCCTCTTTCCTTTTCAAAAGTCTTTGCCAAGAGTCTGTTGTGTCCTGGTGAGGAACACAGTCTCCCTCAGAATAATGTTTTGGGATAAACATTAATTTTTTTCCCTTCACCACAAGAGGGCACTTAGAGCACATGCCTGCAATCATAAAAAAGAAGGAACTGTCATTTGTGTTTTTGTGACTCAGTCTGCTTGTGAATTCTCAGACACGGTACAAAGTGACAAGTCCTCGCTGTTTCTTTTTGCAAGGGTTGAGTCTAAAACCAAGCCCAGGTTCAGTGGCCACACTGACCCTCTGACCTCTCAGAGAGTGTGTGTGAGTTCCAGCCTTCTGCAGTGGAAAAACTGTTCTGTGTTTTCTGAACTGCCTTTAGTTCTGTGTGCAGTCTGAGGCAAGGAAATACAAACAAGACAAATCAGTTGGCTTGGTTTTGAGCCATCTTTATCAGAGGTGCTCTTCAAAACGAAAGATAATTGACTTTTTTAGCAACAAATATGTACAAAGTCTCCCAATGATTGCCTGCAGATTATAACATATATATTTTTATGTAGTCTATTGTTTGAAATCAGTAATAGATAAAGCTGATGGGGAAATTAAATGTAGGAGAACACAGGGGCATTGGCTACGGAGAAGTACACCGAGGCTGAGTCTTTTGTGGCTGAGAGAGGGGAGGCAGCTCACTCACAGGCCAGGCCGGGTCGAGAGATGAAGAGGAGGAGGAGGAGGGGGCCATGGCTGCAGTAAATGATGCTAGCTGTCTACACCTTGTCAGTTATCAGCAGAGGCCCGGAGAGAAATCTGACATTACTTTGTGTTGTCCACAGAGAAAATAATTGGCCAGCGGGCTGGCTCGCTAACACTCTCAGTACTCAGAGGAAGATGTTTTAAAGTTCGGCAGCTAAAGGCACACAGGAAGATAAAGAAACATTGAGGAAACTTAAATAAAAAATAGATAAAACACAAATGCTGCAATAAGGAGAATCAGAATCTCATAAATTAGGTTTATGGTTTATAAATCTGCTTCTGGCAAATGCTGGAAAGAAATTTCAATGAACTTAATTTTTACTGTTAGATAGGTAATAATTGATTGAATGAAGATGCAAGTTGAAAAAGAGCCTAAACTGAGAATTGAGGGGAGAAATGAAAGTTAACTTTCTCTCAGCCTTGAGTCATAGTTATAAATAAACAGCACACTCACCGCTTGTTTCTGTCTGGTTCGGCTTGTTTCCAGGCTATAAATATGTAGAATTTATCAAGCAGGTGTTTGATTTTGCAGAGTGACGGCTGGTGAGAGGCAAAATGATCAGATGTTGTTGTTCACGCTCTCTGACTTTTATGATATTGTTCTTTATTCCATCAATCTAAAGATTGATATCTTGGTTAAACTATTCAACTAGTCTTCCCCCTCCCCACAGCTGAATGTTATTTATCTTCTGTCGGTAACAATATGTATACAAGGGAATGCATTTTATTCTCCATTTCAATTCAACGCTCCATGGCGAGCTATTCAGGAGCGAACCATGGCCCAACTGGCATAACATCAGATGTTGATCATTCACTGTGTGGGTGGTAACAGTGACTCCATATTGCTTTTTCTAGGCTGTGCCTGGCTGAACCACAGCAGCGTCACCTGTTCACAGGCTCTCACTTCCCTGTGCCACTCTGTGCCAGGAGGGAGCCGTGGCGTCTCTGTCACAGATGTTCCTGCATGTGAGATTTTCTTGCTTCTCTTCAAGGCATCAATAAAGGTCTTACAGAGAGCAAGCATTCTGAGGGTCTCTCTGATCAGAGCAAGTTATTATTTCTAATCCTGATGTTGGAAATGATATTTCAGATTGATTACTCAATGACCAGCAGATAAGACTGTGTTTGTTCTGGGCAGTTTCCATGTGTGATGGACTGTGAGGCAAAGTCTGACGTGAATCAATGTTTTTTTGGGCTTGTAGAGTGAACCGACCCTTGACAAATAAGATTAAAAACAAATCCTTTCCTGCTAATTGAATCTGAATAAGCTACAGTTTGATGTGTTTGATTTTCAGCGTTGAGCAACTGCAGCCCTCATGAGGTTTGACACCTACTCTATGTCAAAGACTCATGGGAGATGTAGTTGTTGAGTACTAAAAATAAAACTGAAGTGTGTCTGGCCTCTCTTGTGAGACTTACTCCCTGTGAACGGATTCAAATCAAAATCAAAACCACCAGAATGAACAAAATATTCAAACAATTATCAAAAGGTGTAAGTGACTGAGCACATTTTATTTAACTTTACAGAAATCATCCCGGAGACGTATCGAAAAGTAAACACATTCCTCTTCAGTTTGTCGAATGCAGCTGGCTGTAATGCATCTCCTGCTATTCCGGGAACATTATGTGAATGTATTACTGTGAAGTAAAAATGTGCACGCCGGCACATCACTGCCATTTCCACTTAAAATGCAATCAGGATTTGAATATCTTAACATTTCACACAAATAAGCTGAAAATGTCTTGTGCTTTAATGCTCTGCAGCAATATAGCAGTAGGTTAGCATTCCTGGAACGTTCAATCACCATGCAGATAATTTTCACGAGCGCCACTGAATCATGAAGGACACTTAAGTCGGCGATGTGATCAAAATACAGACGCGCTACTTGGGAGTTTGTTCAAGATAGTGACACAGCATTGTCCATTTGTTTGGCCTCTGCTCCGCAGAGTCTATGCAGCTTCCTGTTATATACATGCCATGACTACTTTATTAAAAACACCACCCAGAGAAGGGTGCTCTTGTGGTGTGTGATATGATTTCTCACATGAAACAAGCAGGCATAGGGATCAAGGACATCTAGGAAAATAATCTGAATCATCCAAAGGAGTAAATTAAGGCTCTGAGTATCATATATTTGCCAAAGAAAAAATAATATAATAACAACATGACAATATCAGCCAACAGTTGTAGAAAAATGGGAAAAAAAAAAACAAACTTGTATGCTATAGCTTGTACCAGAAAAAACCTCAGTCAGCCTTGAAATATGGACTGTAGTTGCGGATGAGCACCACGGCCACATTCAGTTACATAATAAACTGGTAGCTGAATGTATAGTGCCATCATGTGCTTAGCTGTATTCATTACAATGTTATTTCTTTTTTAAATCTGTGACATTCAAGAGGAGGCCTTGTGACCTTATTATTAAGCATACTCAGCATAGCAGGAATTATGACACGGATCCTAAAGTCATTTCTATTGTAAGTGGTGCTTTTTTTTGCTGGAGAATGATGGTGATCTACAAACTACATCAGTGGTTTGTTTCTGTAAACTAAAATTCAGGCTAATCACTCAGTGGTCAGTCTTCTCTCTCTCTTTCAGAGCACATGGAGAATGAGAAGCAGAAGCCCCAGGTTGTGAAGGAGAGGCAGCAAGGAAGAGCAGGGGCCGCTGTTGTTGACACCCCTCGGGTGGGACTGATTCGGCCTCCTCACACTCCTGGTGCGAAGCGTGGTGGTTTTTTTTGTTTGGGCGAAAGGGCTCTCTGTGGTAAAGAATCTGTCTGTGGCCAGGGTCATGTCAGACCTGATGGGTATTTCGTCAATGATGCTCGTGTCAGAAAAAGAGGATGTGAGTGAGTCAGTGGGTGAGTCTCCGTCAGTGCCAGGAAAGAGATGAGGATGAGTATGGAGCATGTGATCCTGGATGCTTATTGATGTGTCTGTGAATGGGTGCTGTTCCATCAGGGTATGTGGGGGAGCAGAAACAGACAAGTACCACCACTCTGTAATGCCAGCCCCCGGGGGCAGGGAGCTGACGTCCTCGGCCCCCGCTGCCAATGCGGGCAGGTTGTAGGAGGCAAAGTGCCACCCTCCAGTCCTGGTAGGCAGCACCCCTCCACAGACTGACTGGGTGTGGCAGGGGCAGCCCAGGACATGGGCAGGGGTATGCTGAGTCCAGGACAGTACATAAGTGATGTCGTCGTAAAGGTGACAGGCCCAGGGGTTGTTGCCCAGAGTGATGGCTCTGAGTGATGTCATCTTGTCCAACACTCCAAAGGGCAGTGTGGAAAAGCGGTTAGCGTGCAGGTAGAAGTGAGTCAATCTGGGCAGCCGGTCCAGGGAGCCGGGCAACACCTTCACAAGCAAGTTGTGCGAGAGGTCAATAGCCTCCAGGTGCATGGGCATGTTGGTGGGCAAAGTCCAGAAGTGGTTGTGACTCAGGTTTAGGGTGCACAGATTGATCAGCGTGTTGTTGATGAAGGTGGCCCGCTCCAGCTTGTTGTTGGAGAGGTCCAGAAATCGCAGGTTCCATTGATAGACTGTGTCGTTCTTGTCCAGCATTTGGAGGCGGTTGGAGGCAGCGTGGAGCTGCCAGAGAGAGCGAGGCAAGCCGGCGGGCAGGTGGCTGAGCCGGTTGTGAGACAAATCAAGGATGCGGAGATGGGTGTACATGGTGAGCCGATGGTCTAGGTTTTGGAAGCGGTTGTGGGACAAGTTGAGGGAGCGCATGTTGTGCTGCAGGCCATCGGGCAACTGCCTTAAACCCCTCCAGGAGCAGTCGACCTCCCTATGGCTGCGGCTGCAAGAGCACATGGAGGGACACACGGCCAGGATGTGCGACCCAAGCAACGACACAACCAGTAGACCCAGGAGGGCGGCTGTAGGGGAAATCCTCAGGAGATCATACCTGCTAAAAAAAAGGCAAGGGGGCAAGGATATTAGTGTTTGTCCTACACAGCATCCACTACCTCCAAAAGTCAAACTGCCCCTGTGCTTGGTGAATACAGGAAACACACTTTTATCACTTGCAGGAGAAGCATGGTAACCACTTCTTTATAGCTCCACCCTCTCTTTCTCCCTCTCTTTTCTCTCACACACACACACACAAACTATGCACTGTAATGTGTCTGCCCCTTTTCCCTGTGATCATTTGCCCCTGGATGTTCATTGGTTGAGGCTAAGGGGATAACTGCAGCTGTTTTTAAATATGCTATATACATTTTAAATTTCTCTTGTGTTGCATGCATATTGTACATGCACACACTGGCTGTCCAAAATTGTGTACTTTCCATGTAATATGTACATTACATGCAAAGACTGACTCAGCAGGCATGTATTAAGGATGCAGCAGCAGCAGCATTTTTATGCACCATTAGCCCTGGATTGAAATGTGTCTCTAATAACTGATAAACGTTCTTGCTGATGTGTAAGAGGATATTCTAGTCCTTTTAAAAAAAAAGAAATCATTCATTCATTCACTGCAAAGGATGAGAAATCCCTGGAGTCATTTTCCCTGGCATCAGTTTGCGTGTTCAGTCATCAGTGGTTGTCAGTGCAGTCAGTCCTATGGTCTCAGAGGAGCACAACTAGCTCAATAGATGGGTTTTAATATTGACTCCACAGAGGACTCATGCATCAGCTGGTCCAAAGGCAGGCAGAGAAAAAAGAGAGAGAAGGCAGCCAGTAGTACTGCACTGCTGAAACAGCAGTATACTGTATGTGAGCCAGGGTGCGACAGAATGTGTGTGTGTGTTTGTGTGTGTGTGTGTGTGAAAAGAGTCTTTACATCTGTTCATAACTTACCTTCTCATCTTATCATTCCAGTGACTTTTCTCTCCTTGCTCCTCTCTCCTGTCCTGCTGTGAAGCTAAGGACCAGCTGCTGCTCTGCTGAAGGTGAATTTTCTTCTCCCCTCACAGAATTGGACTCTTGCTCACTTCACTTGTCCAGTGCAGTTCTTTTTTTTTTATGAGGCTGCCCTCTCCCTGCCTCCCCTTGCGTTGGTCCTTTTTGTCCTCTTTAAAGAAGCGAGAGTTGATATTGCCTCTTGTATGTGGATCTTTATGGTTAGCGCGACCAGGCACTGCAGGCTCTGTGTGCTTACTCTTGTGCTGTACAAGTGCAGAGATGGGAGGGGTGGGGTGTTGGTATTGGGAGGGGTGGGGGGTGAGGAGAAATGGAGCGCATAACGGAGGGGGTCCCCTGCATTCAAGGCTGCTTCAAGGGAAACTCCTCAGCTCATTTTAAATGTAGCAGCTTGCAAGAATGAATTGTGCATTTAAAGTGACAGATATCATTGTGGTTTGATCAATGTACTAATTTCAATTATCAGTTATCACCTAAATCACAACCACCCCTCTGGAAAGTATCCTCTCACACTCAGACTGTGCTGTGATTGGCTGTTATTTTCCCTGTGTTCATTTTAGAGGCTGTCACAAAAAAAACTCAAAAGATTTATTGCAGAGGACTGTCCTTCACTGCAGCTTCCTACCTGTCATCAACAATAAAGCCAACTCTCCATCCTGCACTGCATTGCTGTACTGCTAGCACACACATCACCCTCACTGCTCAGGGACAGATGTTTGATGCAGATGTTGATCAGGATTTACACTTATGAAATTGAAATGCAGCTGAGAGGACAGACTCTGTATTCATTTTGTGCCTCTTTTGCAACACATTTGTTATTTCCTCACCCGCCTCCTCTCTCTCTGTGCTTTCCCCTCCTGCCTGGAGGGTTTAGATTCAGGCCCAGCTCATGCAGAGGCTGCAGTGCCCTGACAAGGGAAAACTATACTCAAAGACTTTTCAATAAAAGGTGCACATCCATGGCGACGTCACATGCAAGTGGTCGGTAAAATATCTGCACAAGGCGGCGGAAGCCACTCCATATTGGTTCTTTGAAAAGGACTTTTGTGTGTCTTTTGTCACCCCTGGCCGAGGTGAAAGAGAGCGTTCTCTTGGAGTTGAGTGGCACTGCCCGGAAGAGGCACATTCTCTGCTTGCTAATTAAGTGGTTCTCTCTCTAATACACACACACACACACACACACACACACACACACACACCTGCACGCATGCACACTTGTCTCTCTATGGTTGTGAGAAGACACACAATGACATAATTCCCACCCCCAATCCCCTAACCCTAAATCTAACCCCTACCCCTAACACCTAGACTTAACCCTCAAAAAGGCCTTTGAATTTATGAGGACAAGCCAAAATGTCCTCACAATGATGGTATTGAACCACAATTGGTCCTCATAACTATAGACGCACGCACACACACACACACACACACACACACACACACACACACACACACACACACACACACACACACAGCTACACTGCTACACAGCTACACTGCTACACTGCTACACTTCACCCTTTGGATCCTCAGAGGGGGAATCAGTAGTTTCCCCCTGCGGCTTTGAGGAGGAGGATTTTTCAGTGACAGGCGTCTCCTTCTTATTCTCTTCACCGCTGTCTTTCACCTTCTTCTTGTTCTCCTCTCCCATTTGTCCATCCACGTTTACCTTGCTGCCCTCTTCCTTGTTAGCACCATCACCCACGGCCTCCTGTTGTTCACTCAAGTCAGCCATCAACACATTGGTCTCTTGGGCCTCCAGATCTGATCTGCTTTTGTTCTTCTTGGCAGTTCCCATCCAGTACTCAGAGTTGCTGATCAGGTCAGCGTCGCCGCTCAGTGTCTTGAGGCGTCTGCTGAGATGGATCACCTTACACGACAACATCAAACAGGTGACCAGCAGGACGAAGCAGACTATGATGACTATGCCACTCACCAGGTAGAGTGAGTGACACTCCTTTCTGTAGAAAGGAATGTTTGGGGTGACAGTGGTGGAGGTGGAAGTGGTGGTGGTGGTGGTTGTGGTGGTCGTGTGCTGGGGGACAGGTATAGGTGCAGTGCTGTGACTGCTGGAGAGCAAGGAGACACTGGTGAGCGTCTCGGTGCTCTTCAGGTTGCTGGCCTCAGACATGTTGCCAGCAGTGGTGGAGTTTTCAGCTGAGGGTGAGTGAAAAGTTTCATTGTCATCAGCTCCACACAGTGCAGCCAGGACTGAGCAGTAAAACAGGAGGAGGAGGCCGTTCATGTTGGTATCTGAGCACACGAGGAAAAGCAGGTGAAATTTGATTAAAAAATTCTATTAGCATTGATTATTTTCTCATGATTGCAACTGATTTTAATTAAACGTTAAACTATTGCACAGAGCAATGAATATATGCAGCCCTGATAGATTCTTGCTTTTTAAAAGCTACGAAATTTAGATGACAGTGAGCGGAAGGTTCTGTTCATTATGATGCATTCTCATGGAAATCAAGCATCATTATGACCTCGCAGCAGTGGAAACCATCTGCTGCCTTTTAAATAATAAAATACTAAATTCATTTAGTGTGATCCTATAACACTGATTTAGTTTTGAATTTATAGATAAGATGCTGATATTGTTTCATTTCTACTTAAATTGTTGATAAAGTTTTGTAGTTTCTCTCAATGGTTTAAGTCTTCAGTGTCCATCATCAGTTTAAAAGCATTGTGTGAATAGTCATAAACAAATAATTGTTATTTTATGTCACTGAAATTGAAGTAATTAAACACATGTTATAAATAGTAAGAAAATAGCAAAAATCTGATTTATACAAACAGAATATCTAAGCCATTCAATAAGACTGTATGTGTTAGCATTTATCCTCTCTTCTTCATTATATCATCAATATCATTGATATTATATTTTTATAACTGTTTTCACAGCCTTCACAGTAAGAGACATTATTAAAATGTATATCACAAATAACGTTGTTGTTTGTTTAGATTTTAATTTATAGGGAAGATGCTGATAAATTTCTCTCTCTCACTTCTACTGAAACTCTCAATAAAGCTTTGTACAACGTAGTTCCTGTCTGAATGAGTAACTTTGTTTCTATTAAATCTCAAATTCTGTTGTTTTCAAAAGGAGGAACTGTGATTCTTTACAGATTTCATCACTTTTTCAGAAGTATAGACATGAATACATAATTGTAATTTTATGTCCCTGAAACTTAAGTAACCAAAAATGTTGTTAATCAAAAAGAATTTAAAAAAAAATCTAAATAAAAAGTAAAATAGATATTATCAAATTTAAAAACAATTCAACAAACAAACTATAAATAGGTGTTAACACAGTGATAATTACTATTAATCTTAAACTGGCAGGTTTGAAAGTAAAAGTATGTATCAATAAAAGATGTAATCACTCACACTGTTCTTGATATCGATGCCAGACGACCGAAGTTTTGTCCGAATAAATACAATGAAGCTGTGATGTAAGTGTAGAGAGATCAGGGATGTGTTAACCATCTGTGAGAGAATGACAGTAAATTCAAATTAATGGAATGCTTGTGAAGTAGTCTCGCTTCTCCATTTGCTCTATAAGAAGAGAGGGAAGTGGCTTTTGGTGTCGTGTGGTTGGTCACACAATGCATCAGTTGAGTGACTATAAAAAGTTGTGGGTACACGTTCGCACAAGAAGCTCACGACACATCGAATTTATAAAATGCAGCCCAACTTGCACACATCTGCTGCTTTTGTTGCCGTCTACGAGTTTTTTCCTGAGCCACATACGCCACAGATGGAGTGCAACTCTGAAGCTGTGTCACTTAATACATGTGGCAAAAAAAAATTAAGTGTAGAAAATATACTTAAGGTCAGATCCAAATATAAGTAAGAGGCCATGTTCAACATCAAGGCCCTCTCATGTACGTCTGTGTTGCCACGGTGAAGTGAAACAACACATATTATTCGTAATTTCTGTTGATTGCAATAGCATATCATATTTTTGCAGTTTCCTCTGTAACTGCTCATTTGTGTTTCCTGTCAGATTTAGTCATTTCCGCAGCACGTCTGCACACGTGGCAAAGTGAAAAGCTTAATTTGCAAAGTTGCCTCTTCCCTGCAGGCGACACCAGCAACATCCACGACAGCATTCAGTGCCCAGCACACTCTAGGCTCTCTTAAGTATCTGTATCTTTCTGCAGGGACTCAATCAAACGCGTCAGCATGGCGGCTTCCTGCTGTGGTCTTTCGTCACCGAGCTGTTTATCAACGTGGCCATCCAAAAGAGAGGGCAGTAAATCATGAACGACATGAACACAAATCTGTGATGCAGATATCGGCAGGCGTCTTGTTATTCTTGTTCAGTCAGAAGGATGGAGGCAAGGTCACGAGTGCGCATGACTAATGTAACAAAGAGGGTTATAAATTACCGTGGCTGACTGAACGTAACAAGTTGATATGCTGTCGTAAAACCCAACATAAATTCATTTATTCACACCACACTGACCAGGATCAGTTCTCTGTCATTACACACCAGCAGTTGTTACAGATGCTCAGTAAACGCAGTGAATATCCAGTAAAATATTTGAAAAGTGTCGTCTTAAGGGGCAGTTTTTAACAACAGTTGAAGAGGGAAACATCTCAAATTTTTTCCAATTAAAATGACAAATTCTAAATTGACCCACAGACTGTAAATCAAATTTTCAGCCCACAACCTTCAAAATAACTGTGCCAGTCTTGTGACCCCAGCCATTCCATGTGGTGCTGTACATTAACCTGCTGTGACTGATACTGTTGCTAATCTGTCATAAACATCATCCTTATCATAAAGAAAATAAAGAGATAAAGAAAATCAGGTGATTATTTGGATGGTAACTATTTTTCTGTAGCTTTTGTAACATTACTGGCTGAAATATTTATTTTACATCCTGGAAACCATCTTGTGACTCTCTTTCTGTGTCTCACGACCCCCTAGAGGGTCCCGACCCCTAGTTTAGAAACCAAAACGTACTTTTACCAAATTGCTTTTACTTGATTGTTGTTTTTTGCTATTACTTGAATAAACTGTATCATTTTCTTTTGCTACAACTTTTAATAAGTTATTAACCAACATTGTTTCAGTTAATTCTGCTCCTTTCTGGAGGAAGAAGAGAAGGAGGAAGAAGAGGGCATCATCAAGTTAATAATAATGAGGAAGTGAGATCAATAGAAATACAGATGACATCACCTCCACATCACCTTTCCTTGAATAATGGAAAGTCCCATTTGTATAGAAATCAATCTCAGTCCTGCGTGTTTGTCCTCATGGCCAATCAAAGTACATTTGTGCTTGTTTGTGTATATGTGACACCTTTTTTTGTCTGTGTGTAACTTCACCCACCATAAATAACTGACCTGGTGGATGTGATGGTGGACAGCCTCATTAAGGAAAATCCCAAGACCATCAATTGATGGCTGACAGGTGGAGTTGTGGGTTCAGCAAATGTCAAAACGGCCAAGTGAAAGCTCTCTCTATCTGTCTCTCTCTCTTCCTGTGTGTGTGTGTGTGTGTGTGTGTGTGTGTGTGTGTGAGACACCCAGGTTTCACAACAAACTTGCTGACAAATGTGTGTCGGCTCCTCTGTGAATTTGTAGCCTTCCACAGTTCTAACTTTCACATGAGTTTGTATTATCAGGTTTGGTTTTAAACTGGCACCCAGGATAGAAAGAACATTTTGTTTTCCGGCACACGAAACACTTTCCCTTCGCCAAATACTGGTCACGTGACCTGGTACCAGTTGGAGTCACAGAGCTCTTAGTCGCAGCAGAGGATACAAGGTCCTTTCTTTTCTGCTGGATTGATACCAGTGTTCAGAATCAATCCATCATTCTTATTATTCAAAGCCACACTTAGGGATGCAGCCTTACTGATAACAGCCTTCAAGGTCTGAATCTGAGCAGCATTTCTCATTTTCCTGACAGCTCCCAAGGCCTTGTATTATAAACTTTTGATAGATTCGTCTCTGAAAAGCTGCCTCAGCAGAAAGGTGAGAAAACAAGGCAAACAGTTTTCCTCTGAAGCTTGTGAAGCAGTTCTGAAAGCTGATAATCCAGAGAACTTCTTCTAAGTGCAGATTCACTGACTTTTTTTCCCCTCGCTATTATTTGTGGAGCGGCTTCAGACAGTTTCCGTGACAAACACACAAGTTCCAGGAGATCGTAGTACGCTCTCACACAAGCTCAATCAGTTGTTAATTAAAATAGAGATGACACTTTCACACCTGAATGATGCATGACACAAATAAATGCAAACCATGCCACAAAAACTGTCTGACCAAAGCTGATCTAAAATGTGCACAACCTAAAATAAAAAAACACACAGCTGCCTCACAGTTTTGGTTCAGACCCTAACAACTCTCTGTAAGGTTTCTGTGCCACCTAGAGGAAGCTGCTGCAAGCGTTTCCACAACCTTCTCCTCAAAAGGCCTCAGGGAGAAAGAGCAATCTAGTTTTTCTATTTATAGGAGCTAAACCCACCCGATGTGCTCTCAATATGTAAATAAGCTTTAGCCTCTTCCTACACATTTCAGTGTGATTCCTTTTTGTCCTCGTGAGACAACAACCAGCCTATTCTCTCTCAATTAAACACTTGCCCAGACCCATTGATTAGTTGGACAAATGTATTGTTTGTAAGTGTATGTGCTTTGACTTCTACAGGTTCAAGCCACACATCTTGATCCCAGTTTAATAACTGTCTGTAATCACCATTACAGAACTTCTTCTGTTCCTTAAAATAAAAAATAAACAAACTAAACATGCTTACCTCCTCCAGGGCCTGCCAGTCCTCTTAATCACTCAATGTCAAAGTATCAAAACGCAATATGCTTGCATGTAAAAGAAAGTGGAAAAAAATAAGTTGCGTGGAAATTCGTCCTGTAGATTTTCTAGAAACAAACAAACCAACGAAAAAAACATAACCTCCTTGGCAGAGTTAAAACTGCAAATAAATTAAATCTGCATATTTTTACAACATTTATAAAATGTCCTGTTCTTGTCTGTATTTTTCTCTAGATTTCTTCAAAATTTAAATTCCAATTTAATTAATTATTATTTGTTTTGTACCTTAAAGATGCTTCAGTTAGTTTAAATTCTTTGCACTATTTCACCTCAGGATATAAATAACAGCCTCCATTCTGTTGTTACATGACAAGCCTCATTTTATTGTCTTCCATGGATGAAAACAGAAACTGTGTGAACAGAACAGTAGTCACATGCAATACAAAAATATGAATTTTTACAGGAACATAAAAAACATGTATTGGCCCATTCTAAAAATTGTACAGCTTTTATACAGTATTTTTTATACATGAAAAAAATATAAATATATACACATCTGTAATAGCCATAGCAGTACCTATTCAAAAATGTTGTGATGTAGTTTACATATAAAATGTTTGTACAAATATTAGAAGAATCATGTTAATTTGCTATACATTAAATAATGTATGTACAATTGGATTATACAACACGACATTTACTGCAATCTTTCACAAAAACCAACCCGACGTATTCCGACACTGGACACTCACTCACTCAGTCGCACGTGCACACGCACACACACGCACACGCACACACACCACATAAATACAAGCACCCCAACTGAAGCCAGCAATCACAAACAGTATGCACAAGCGCGCACAAGAGGTAATGTTTTAGGAAGATATAGGACACTTTTGCGCCAGGTTCCTGATTTATCTTTTTTCTTTTTTGCGCAGACTGAAATCACTCAACTCCTCGACAGGAGGATCTTTCCAAGGAACTCACATTCTCATAAAGTGCACTTTACACTTCAATGGATGGACACTATTATAAAAAAAACTCTTTAATCATAAATAACCAGCATTATTCTCTTCCCCATGTGGATTGTGGATGATGAAGGGGATATTTCGCTTTGTTTCTTTTCACGTCAACTCTAGCATCTTCATCTGTGCCGTGTTTTCAAAATGCATCCAATAAAACAGTGAATATAACAGGTTATGCTCCATAAAGACAACATACGAGTGAGCATATAACACTGTCCGAGCCTCTGAGACCATCACAAGTATAAAAGAAAAAAAACACTGCAAATATGACGATTTAAACCCAAACTGAACAACAGCGACAACCAAAAACTGAGTTAGTGATTATTTTTCTCCTGTAGACAAAGTGCATATTGTGTCTGGACATGGGGCAGTCAACATGTCGGCAGACGCCGTCACACACAAGCGTGAAATAACCGAGGGAGAGGAGCAGAGAGGCAGTCGCTTTGAGAAGATATAACTCAAGCCTGTCAGACGCGTGTCAGACCCTCGGGGAAAACATAGATAAATGACGTGGTCCGTTTGGAGTGAGGGTTCACTTTACGTCCGGCGGTGTGCATGTGTGTGTGTGTGTGTGAGATTATTGAGAACGACCACAATCACAGCAGCGCAGCAGAGAGAAAGGTGAGCGGGGGGCGGAGGACAGGGAGCGACCATCAGCAGGCACGGACCACGGCGCCACCAGTCAGTCTCAGCACAGACACCAGTAACTCACAAGCCTCAGAGAGACGCACAACTTCACAGAAACAAAATCCAAAAAAAGGGGGGAAAGGCGAAGAGATATGAGACGAAAAGGAGGGAAAGCACGGAGGATGGTGGTGGTGGTCGTCCCGCTATCTCCCCCCCCTCGCCCCCGACCCTGCCACGCCTCAGTCCACCAATCATCTCTAAGGAAACGCAGCGGTTAGACACGGAAGATCAGACCGTGGATTAGTGGAAGCAGTGTCTGTTTTCAGGCAGAGGCAACGCTTTGTTCAATCCTGTAAGAGTTAAGGATTCAGGAGCATGCAAGGCAGACCCAGGCTTTGTTGTGCATTGCTTATGTTTCAGTGCACCGGCTACAACCTAGATTAGAAAAGAGAACAAGAAGAAAAAGACGAGGGGAGAGCAAAGGGAAAAACACAAACGTTAGACGGTTAGTGGAAGTGAAGAGAGCATCATTTGAAAAAGCAGCAAGATATTACACAAATGTTGATTAGTTGGAGTATGTAAAAAAAAAAGGTCAAGCTTTTAAAGTGGAAACCAGAAGAAGATACATTTAAGTATTTTGATGTCCTCTTTAGGTTTTACTTTTAAAAGGAAACCATCATCCAGCTAAACAAAACTAACATTTAACCACACAGGATGTAAAGTGAAGCCCTGAACTACTGATTTGACATTAGCAATACTGAAGGTCACATGTTAGAGCGAACATGACACGGGTCGTCAGGAAAATGCAAATCATAAAGAAAAAGCAGAAAGACAGTAGGATACATGGTGTGAAAGCAAGGCTGGAATGGAGGCATGTAAATAAATGTGGTGGGTGTGTTTGCGGAAACTGAAAAGAATGATACGCTGCTCTGGCAATGAAGAGCACAAACTCCTAAAAGTAAAAAACCTTTAGGAGTTTGTCCAAAAATTCTCTTTATGTCCTATTTATATATTTTTTCCTCTGCCAAGGTCGTAATGTTGACATTTAGTCGTCTGTATTACAACAGATTACCATGAAACTTGATGGAAGCAGGTGCCATTACATGTTTTTGTGAGGATCCAGATTTTTTTTGGAACTTTCTCTAAACTGCGAGGGGGATCTTTCAACATTTTACTTGATTTCTCAGATGATAATATATGGATCTCAAGCATTACCGGGGATTGATATTTATAAATGTGGGAAATGTTAGAATTGCAGTCTTCTGAGTGTAATTCAAATTTGTGCATGTTTTAAATTCTGTTTTAACTTGGTCCTTTCACACACTGGACAGTTAATGTCAGCTTAAGATGAGGATGTATCATAAAATGGCCTGTGCTTATATTTTGATGACAGGAAGTACAAAGAAATGTGTCACACATGCATGAGGAAAGAACATAATAAAAATATATATGTATCATTTTGTTGCTTTGTACATATGTCATATAATTTCTTTTTGCTCTTCCTGACTGCATCTGAAAAATCATCCATGACAACCACTACCCAATGACAGACTACTTAAAAGAGATGGTTACAGTATTTCTGCTTCATTTCAGTGTCGTGTGATGAAGAATAAATTAAACTTTAAAATTCACATCTAGTATAAAAAGCAAAGTTCACATTTCATTTGAGAGCATGCAACAGCAGCTGAGACGATCCACAGTGCAGTGACAGTGCATTCAGTCATGTGTGGTGCTGAAGAGAAACTATGACATATAACCGTTCAAACCCATTTATATTATCTTATCATGTACAAAATATATCCATCTACTATCCTTTTATATATCTCATCTATAAATAAGACTAAATAAATAAGACCCCAAGGCTGCGTCAGTCTCACTACAGGGATCGTCATTATTATCAGACCATTGTACCACAAGGAATCAGAAGATGCGCTAAAAGGACGAAGGAAGACTTTTGTTTTGTTTTCACGTGTCCAGTGTCTTCACATCGTCCTTCATTTCTGGATACCTACTCTGCAGACTTCCAGAAGTGTCCAGGGTGGGACAGCCTGCGGTTGAGTTTGGGCAACTTCTCCAGCATGTCGGCCAGCTGGGTGAAGGTCGGCCTCTCTCTCAGGTCATACGCCCAGCAGGCGGAGAGGATCTCCTGAGGCGACCACAGAAAAACAAACACCGAGGGTCAATCTTTGCACTACCTTGATATCTCAGCATCAGTGAACTGTGGTGGATTATTTGCCGGCTCTTGTACATGAAGGATAAACATTTGCGTATCTGAATGACTGACACGCCTCTTACTCTACTCACAGTGACCTCCTTGCCCAGGCTGATCTCGGCCAACACCTTCTTGATGCCCTCTCCGCTCCCCACCTGCCAGATGGTAGCTTCCACATGCTGATTGGTGATTGGCCAGTCCCTTGCTTGAAGCTCATACCAAATGGTGCTGAAAGAGGAGGGGGGGGGCAGAGGTTTGATTACACTTCAATAGTGAAATAAGCTCCTCTAGGTCTTCATAGCTTGGAGGAGACATTCTTCTTCAGTGTTTCTTTCCTCTTGTAAGACTAAATATTTGTTTTTTATCCATGTGTTTGTTTTTTGGTGCAGATCCAAATAAATGGGCTGATCCTGGACTTTTGAGAACTGTCTCTGCAGGTTTTCACACAGAATTCATTCAATCTGTGGCAGTAGTGGAGGTGCACGTGCATGAATCGAAGACAATGTTGGATAATGTTAGAGAGAGAACTGTGACACATGCCACTGCAGTTAAAGCTACGAGGTCTGACAGTTTGCCTGGACAGTCACCAGTTTACGGAAGTCCTATTTCCCAGCATTTGCTAAATGTATGCCTAGCGACTACTCTGGCACGTCCCCTAACAAAGCTGAGGCTGACGTTTCCGACATGCATTGAACCAATCACAGCAAGGTGGGCCAGCTTCATCGGGAGGAGGGGCTTAAAGTGACGGGAGTTGAAAACAGCAATGGACAGTATGTGGAAAGATTAAAGCATATAAACCTTGTCAAGTAATACCCCAAATTACAATGATGAACTAGAATATGAGTACAATATGTATTTTTTATATTTAAGTTATCTACTGTGTTTGTGAGTGGGCTGAGCTTACCCAAAGGCGTACACATCAGCTGCGGTGGAGAACGGAAGGCGGTCCTCATTGTTACCTGGACTCATCCTGCGCACAATCTCTGGTGCCAGATAACAAATCCAGCCATGTGGAAGTTTGAGTTTATTCTCACGCCTGGAAAAAAGAAAGGTGCACACTTTTCAGTAACAAATCAAGTGGAGTGGAAAAATCAGCACAAACCCGCATCTCCAACTACTGGGTAAAAAGATGGCTACACATGAACACAAGGGAAGAATGAGATGAGCGAGGTGTGTGTTCGTAATGTACATAAAAGACAAAGAGTGCAAGAAATGATTTAGTTTTCACGATCAGGAGATTTTTAGGAAGACGCCTGCAGGACTCAGCAGTTATAACCAATCACTAGACTTCCACAGGTAACAGCAGTGTGGAGTGAACAGCCGTTCTGCTGAGGGTGTGTTTTTACTGCCTATCGAGTGGTGGTGCCTCTCACCTCCCTTCCTGAACGACCCCAGAGATCCCAAACAGCCCGAAGTCCGTGATGATGACTTTATTGGTGTCGTGAAAGACGTTCTTGGACTTCAGGTCCTTGTGAACGATGCCTTTGGCGTGCAGATAGCCCATTCCCTGCACCAGAGGACAAACAGTGGCAGATCATTAAGTGCTGTCATACTGGTTAGATGTTGAAGCAGACTTTAATGTGTGTGTGTTCGAGCTGCTTCTATTCACATTTTTTACCTTTCAAAAGTGAACACAAGATTTTGCTAGTGAATGTTTGTACAAGGAAGTTTGCTCAATATACTTTATTCCTTGTGGAGACTTTTTTCCTGTGGCTTTGAATGCAAGAGCACAATGAAAGATATATTCCAAAACTGAGAAATATTTAATAGATTTGGTTTAGCTGTTATAATGATACAGATATCCTGTTTCTTTAATAAGGATATTTCTCGGATTTTAACAAAGCCCATCCCTGGACATGAAATCTGTCACTTCTAAACACATTAATCAAGGTCTGGATCTCACTAAGTCAAATGCATCAGTGGGATCTTGAAAGATATGAAAGAAACATTTACCTTTACAATCTCCTGAGCGATTTGTCTGGTCTTGTTAATATCCAAAGTGTTTTTAGTGTCTCTAACGACAGAATACAGCGTCCTCCCTTTACAGAAGCTGCAAGGACAGAGAGGGAAATATTAGAAAAAGCTTCGTTGAGCATGTTTGTAGATCTTATAGTAAAAGAACACATAATTTTCCATATTGGATGTTATGTTTTTTGTGTATTTTGGGTCCTGCCTCGTAATATAGGCAATATTGTGCTGAAAAAAACAACATGGTGAACATTTTTTAATGTGGTATTCAAGTGCAACTTCAAAAGCATTAATAAATGGCCAAAATAGCATAAGACTCTTTATGGTCATTTCCAAAGGATGTTTGTTATTTTGGTTCTGACCTGGTGATGATGGCGAGGTGGGGTGGAGCCATGCAGGCCCCCATGAAGAGGACCACATTCTCATGTCTGGTCTGCCTGTAGTTCATCACCTCCTTTTTAAAGAGCTTCAGATGGTCCTGGTTGTTCCCGTCAATCTCAAGGAGCCGTATCGCTACCTCGCCATGCCAACGACCCTTGTGCACTTTGCCCCAGCGGCCCTGCATGGACACGGAGAAACGTCAAAGTCAGCAAAAGTCTTTAACGTGTGCTACAAATGCTAACTTCTATGTTCCTCACCTTTCCTATGAGTTCCCCGAGGTCCAGCTGCTCAAATGGGATGTCCCACTCCTGGAGGTAGACGCTGGTCTGGCTCGGTTTGCGGGAGATGGGGCCCTTCCACTGGTTCCCCCGCGAGCTGGGCAGATCATCCAGCTCGTCAACGTCCAGCTCCCCGTCGGAGCCCATGCTCATCCTGATCTCCTCGTCGTCTTCCTCGTCCTCATTCTCCTCCTCTTCTTCCTCGTTCTCCTCCTCTGCCTCTGGGTCTTCATCCTCCACATCAATGTCCTCCTCCACTTCCTACAAGAGAGTGGGGATAGCAGAAAGGCTGGAAGTCAGATCAAGTCTGTATAACACCTATTCCTATGAATTAGAATGACCAACAAACATTTTATTCCAGTTTTAGAAAACCCACTATTTCCAAAACCCCCCCAATCCTTTAGTTTCTTCATCACATGTGTGCATCAAACAGGCTCCACAGCAAATACACTGAATGTTTTAAAATGCAGGTGCTGCAATTGCAGTTGCTGTCCCTCAACAATGGGGGGTGCTGCAGCTCTGTCAGCCCCTCACTTCCTGCTTCCTCGGGTCATGGTGCTGTCATTCTACTCGAATACAGTTAATTACTTATTTATTGCAAATTAAATAAAGACACTTCATCTGCATCTCTTTATTTTAATTGTCACAAACAAGTTCATGATGGCTCGATTGTCATTATTCATATTAGAAAAAACCTGGAAACATGAAATGTTAATGGAGGATCATATTTTTCTATAATAAATTCTGTAAAATGTTAATTTTAGTTTTAGAGTTCAGCTTGGTGCTGCTGTCCCATCAGGAAGACTCTCATGGTTAAATTAATAACCTCACCACCTCAGCGTTACCGCAGCCAAACAGGTCAGCCTGGTTCCAGTAAACCAACCCCAGAGAGAGGATGTTTGTTTTTGGTTGATGCCAGACCATTCATGTGGAAATCATTTACAAGAAAACCGTCACCAGGGTTATTTAAAGACATGAATAACCGCAGCTCTGATATCACACCATTTATTAAAAAAGTGGCCCAGCCTGCCTGAGTAAATATATTATTCTTTCAACTGCTCAACAGTGTCAGAGAGAAATGAGTTCGACACATGCTGCTCTGCTTTGAAAGATAATACTCTATTCTTGTTTTGGTGCCATAACAAACTTCCCTTGCAGATGTTCCACTGTGATGGTCTGAAGCAAAGTCCCCAGTTTTTAGCTTTGTCTCAGGACAGAAGGCCAGTTTTGCATCATGTGGTGAAAGCTTGAGGTTGTTAAGACTCTCAGTCCTTCAACTAGTTTCATTTCATTTCACCCCCATTCCACGTGTCCTTGGGCAAGAACCGTGACCAGAAAACCCTGATGGCTGAGAAAATGCTGTTCGTTGATGCAATGTATGTAAAAAGGCAAAACTGTTCTCTTTTCTACTGATATCACTGTACTGTACAGGTATTATCAGTAGTCGTCAAGACAAAATCAATACACTACATAAATACAGACCATTTATGTTTCAGAAATGTCAGAAGTGTGCAACATCACCTCTTCGTCTTCATCTTCAACCAGCTCAGCGTGTATGTCGTCTGATTGCTCAATCTCACTGCTATGATACAGAAAATGAACATCAGAGGTCAAATCCAACAAAAGACAACATTTACTTTCTGTTTTAACACAATTACTAAATCAACTTGATTTTATTTTAACAAAAATGTCTTACACAGTGTCTTGTAGGACGTCAGAGTGCAAATGAGCAGGGCTGGAGACATCTGCAGAGAAAAATACAATAATATAGGGATGAATGAAAAGAACAATTCCTTGATCTCTTTTGTGTTTTTGCCCTTTTTTCCTTTAGAAAAAATGCAGAACATGGCGGCTCATGCAATTCCCCACTACCACCAGCAGATGGAGTCAAAAGGCTGCCATGTGTCAACGTGCACAGTGGAAGGATTTGTATGGAGGCTACCTGCCACAACCCTAAAAGCAAACATGCAGAGGACAGGGGAGCGTGGGATGATGGGAAACGAGCAGAATGCAGAATAATATTTTTGGGACCGTCAAACTCACCGGGGAAGATAAACTGCTGTCTATGCTGAAAGTAACAGGCAGCTTTGTAAAAAGAGACGGGAAAGACCATCAGGCACAGCACGGAGGGAGACTCTTGGTTAGAAAAACTTGACAGATGTTGTAAAAAGTGCAGTTGAGCTTCAGTGTTAACATCATATACATATGTATATACAAATAGAGAGAGAGAGAAGAGGAGAGAAGTGTGTGAGAGGTCCAGACTGTTATAACCTATAAAGCTTTAGCTTCAGCAACAGACATCTTTCACGTTCACATTTCAGTATGTGCCACGGTTCTCCACAGGTCCATCTGTGTGCCAGCTCACCTGGGAAGTTAAAGCGATTGTCCCTATGACCTTTCGGCGAGGGGTTGGGCGGCGGGGTGGCGCTGGGGGGGTTGCTCTGCTGGAAGGGCGCCGGCGAGGAGGGCGTGGATGAGGTGGTGGAGGACGGATTGCTGCTGGAGTCCAGCTGGTTCAGCACTGGAGGATGATCCTGGTGCAGCGAGGAACACACACAATATTACTCAGGCCTGACTTATTATATACACATTTTAAATAATTTAACTCTGCAATACTCATTTCCTCTCTGCACAATTTATAGATCATACATGTGCATCATGCTCCACTTTATATTCTGTTTGCATTGTAAATCTAATTTCTTGATTTTTCATATTTCAATGTGTTTACATTGTGTGTATGTTTACTTAAAGGGATAGTTCACCAAAAAATGATATAAAAACTTCACCCACCACCCCCATCGGCATAGTGGTGAGTAGATAAAGAGTCAATTTTCTGTGAACTATATATATATAATAACACTGACTAAGTTTACATGGACATCAATTTTTCTCAAATAACCAATAGTCTAAATATGACACTGCCATGTCCACAGCATGTCTGATTTAACCTCAATAAGGTCAAACTCATAAGCAACAATCAAATTAAGACATGTGGAGTATTCTGGTCTTAGTCACATTATGTACACATAACGTACGATTGGAGTTTTCAACATTTTGCAACATCGACACATGCAGTTACCAACTACTTGATGACAGGAGCCCTGTGAACAGGGTCGCTGTTGCATCGTGATTTAAGGGAAACTGGAAGTGTTTGGATGGGCATACATACCATAAAGATGATATTTTTAAAAGAGGTCGCTCAGGTCATGAGTCATAATAGACAGGAATATGAATGGAATATTCTATTAGCAACTCATTTACTCATCATAATTGAAATAATGTCTTACTCAAAAGTCGGAATATTGGTGTCCATGTAAACAAAGTCAGTGTTTTGCATTTTTCTTTCAAAACAAAAACAAAAAATAGTAGTATGTGATCAGGGAGAAGTAGATGTGATATGAGTTATAGGAACCAGTGGGTTTTGGGGAAATGTGGTCTTAATTTCATGAAGGCTCTAGTCTGAAACTGTTCAGTATAATCAGTAATGCAGTGCGGTGTAATGCAAAACTCAGAAGCCATCTTTATTTAACCTTTTTTGTAATGGCTTTTGGTAGCGTGCCAAACTGCGGTGCTTCTGTCGGCCGGTCCACAGGGTTGTTTATGTCAGATGGAACAGACTCAGTCCTCCGAATTTTGGCAACTACAACAGAAATAATGGCAACGTCACAACGTGTGTACGCAATTGTCAAATACACATCAACTGCAGATCGAGGATGGAACAAAACTTACTTGGTAGAAAGGAGATTCTGCAGGATGGAGCTTCCTTTGTGCATTTGTTGTGGCACTTTAACCTGCACAGAAAGTGAACAGCACATGAGAAACCCAGTAGTGATCCGCACATGGCACCAAGAAACACTCCTCAAGTCCAAGACCTACACGGCAACCGCCCCAAATGAACCCTGTGACAGAGCTTTCTCATGCTGCCACTAAAAGTCAAACGATAATAAAATCAGTTGATTGAAGTGCCCTTTGGATAGAAAGTGCTCCACTCACCGGCAGTGTTTGCACTTAACCCCAAACATCATGTTCTTCTGGCACACCTGACATGTCTGGGAGAGCCAGGACCTGGTCGAAAACCTACACAAGGACAAGAGCTTCTGTGAGACCTACAGATCTACACTGCAGCAGAGGTAATATTCACATAGTTACTTCCTTAAAGGAGACGTGTTACGCTTCAGTTATACTTTTCTCTAGTGTGTTGTAGTTCTTTGTGTATGTAAATGGTCTGGAAAGTTCTGAAGCTTCTGAACACCTTGTCAGTAGTCCGACTGATATTTCCGCGCCATTGCCCACATTTGCGTAATGTATCTAGTGGCTTGTCTGGCAAGCCCCCTAAAAATCACAGCAGACTGGGCTTCATCCGGCTCAATCGTGCTGTAATAGAACTGCATGTGCGATCAGGTATTCATACATGGAGCGCCTGACCAACGCAGACGCTCATCTCAGTATGAATAGAACCGTGGGCATGCATGTGTGACAGGACTGAGAACGCCCCTCTCAGCGGACACTGAAAGTATGATCACATTTCACAAGAGACTAAGAGAACTAAAACCAAGCTTCAGACAAAAGCTGAAGAGAGGAGATGCAGCACTGTCCAGATTTCTGAACATTAGAGCATGGAAACCTGTTCAAGTAATTACCCACCTGAATACCTTCAATAATAAATCTAGCCTCTTTGCTTTATTAGGAAACACACTTAAGATGGAAAATATTCTGTGATAGAGAGAGGTGTACCTGTGTGTGACTGATAGGCCTATGTCCCTTCTCACTGCTTGTGGAGAGCTGCGATGCACTGCTACATTATCTGTCCGGAGAGAAAGAGACGGAAGACAAGGGGAAAGAAGGGGGAGAAATATTGAGGGGGAGGATCAGCTCATGTTGAGAAAGACTAGTGTGCAATTTAAAAAATAAAAATTTTGAATAAAGATTATTATGTACAATGTGATTCCACCCACAAATGATACTGGATCCTCCACACACATGAATACAATAACATATAATTCATTAAAAAAGTAAAAAAAGAGAAATATTGATTTAAGCAACAAATCTATATTTATTAAATCTTGAAATCCCAGTAAATGTAGACAGGGTCATATTAGTTACGCTTAACTCGAAAACAGTTTCACCAAATCAGCAAAACTGATGTATACATATTGACGACTCACTCTTAATGGTGCTGTGCTCTTCCAGTAGGGTGGGTGTGCCAGGCAGGGTGTAAGGTGCTGTGGTGGCGGCCGGGGTGACCCCTGGCGTGCGTGCAGACACGGTGGGGTAGGGAGAAGACAAGTCCTGGCATCCGTTCCCGTTGACTTGCATATTTAGAAACAACTTGTTCTTTCTAACACATCTGACAAGGGGAAAAGAGAGAAAGAGATAAGATGAGAGTGTGTTGGTCCTGCACGGTCGAGAAAAGAAGACGAGATATCACTGCACAGCCGTGCACGATGCTGGTTATGTAAGGGACAGAGAGAGAGAGATAGCACTGGCATAGGATAGCCAGGGTTACATCCTAACACCCAAGATTTAACTCACAAGAACTGAGGCACCAAGCAGTGCCAGTTCTTTGGCTTAGACACGCACACACACACGCACACGCGCGCACACACACGCGCACACACGCGCACGCTTGTGCACACGTGAGCAATCACAGTAGGAAAAACAATCCATTTGTCTAATTTTATCTTGAGCTCTGTTCAAGCAGCTATCAGACCTACGACCTGGATAAACTAGCAGGATTGTCTGCGTGTGCGTTAGAAGCAGCAAATCTGTGTCAGGCGTATTTACTTCTGCCTTAGTCACTTTTTTCCCCCCGCTAAGTAAAGCTTTCCATAAACAGACAGGATATTATGGATAAACATGTGGCTTGTTTGTGTGTGTGCATCCAATCACAATAGAGAGAGAGAGAGAGAGAGAGAGAGAGAGAAAGGGAGAGAGAGAGAGACAGATGATGAGGGAGGAAGAGAGAGAGAGAGGGAGAGATTGTGTTTGTCTTGCCACCTCGGAGCAATGGTCCTAGGAAATACTTCCTGTTTTGACATGACTCATAATCTCTGGGAATCTGTGTGGGGATTAGCTCCATGCATACAGTGAGAGCAAAGGAGCAACAGGCAGGATGTGAAATGATGGGAAAGAGGAAGAGAGAAAGACAGAGAGAGAGAGAGAGAGAGGGAGAGAGAGAGAGAGAGAGAGAGAGAGAGAGAGTGTGAGCGGGAATCTAAGCTCTGCTCCAGGTCCTGACGCTGCGAAAGACTGAAGCAAGAGCAGGACACTGGACAGATGTATGCACCTGTAATGCACGAGCCACTATAACAGCAGGTGATGGGGAAAAACATGGCTGCAACAAGAGCCTATTTTCTGCGATACTACAAAGGGCACGCTTGGTTACAGAAGCCTCTACCGCTGAATGCAGATGTTTCAAGAGAATTGTGAAATTTTCCAGGTGTAATGTTTAATTTTGCAGAGCTCCAGGACAGTTTGACTATATTACTCACCTCTGTGCATCACAGTCAAAACTCACACAGCCTAAAGCTCTGACTACACTGCACAAGTTTCCAACTGTCAAGAAACAACTAAATGAATTAAAACAATTGAAACAGAAAGTTTAAGAAGCCATTACTACACTGAAATAAAAATTGTTGGACCGTCACAAAAACGTTAAACTTAAAGGTCCAGTGTGTAAGATTTAGGTGAAAGGGAACTATTGGCAGAAATTTAATGTATAATAATCCTAATGATGTTTTCGCTAGTTCATTTTATTTAAATTGTATGAATTGTAGTTTTCTTTACCACAGAAAAGATCCTTTATATCTAAATACTCTATATTTACATCGAGAGGACCCTCTCTATGGAGGCTGCCATGTTTTTTACATTAGTCCAGACTGGACAAACTAAACACCTTTTGAGTTTTTATGACAACTGAAGCTACCACAGGTTCTTTTTCATGTTTGGAAGGAGAGGGTGAGGTGAGGGGTGTTCAGCTGCAACATGCAATTTCAGCACTAGATATCACAAAATTCTACACACTGTACCCTTAAGGTTAACAAGCTATATTGGCAAAATTTTGATATGCAACACAAAATTACTACATTTATGTGTTACCTGTTACATTTAGATAATGGTTTGCCATTATTTATAAAACTATTCATCTGTTATTTAAATGATGCTCACTTGAATCGCTTCATTGGATGATCAGATTAAGAAATTATCAGCAGCATAATTTACTAACCATTATACACATACTGCAGGTCAATGAAATTCATCATCATGTTTCTATATCTACATCTATTAGTGATGGAACTCATGTTAGTGTCAAAGGTTCTGTTAGTAATACATAGAAACTCTCACATCAGTCATCAGACTGCATGAACAGGAGAATTAAGGAAGACACAGCAAGAGACTTCACCATCAGACTGTAACAAGCACATTTACTGAAACTGAAGAATTGCAAAGAGTGAGACACTGCAGCTGTCCTCTCACAGAACATTTTCCCACACTCCCCAAAGCCTGTAAACCTGTGCTAACAAAGCCAGCAGTGGCAATCCGTTATAATAACAATGCCATGTGAGGATTCCCACTCAGGTCAACTCTGACCTACTTATGAAAAGCTGTGTTGAGAGTTGAAATCTGTAGCAGCGAGTTATAGTCCAAACAGTCTGATCTGACCACCTACTTGTTGGTGGGAGGGTCTTCGATGCGGTTGCCCAGCTGGGACTCGTGGCTTTTGCTGCGCGTCAGCGTGATGTTGGGAAGTAGATGCAGCACTTTACGGGATGGAGGCGGAGGAGTGCAGGGGGGCTTCAGTCGGTGACGCCTCTTCGAAGGTGGGGTTATGGGTGGGGTGGAGGTGTGTCCGTGGAGGCGGGCCGTTCGAGCTAAGGGCATGGGGAATGGATCGGTGAGGGGGCTTTCGCCACGGAGGTGCGATGCCAGCGCTTCAGCCGTGGGCGCTGCTGACATCGAGCCCGAGCGGTGGTGAGGGAAGGTGGGGCAGGGTGTGGATGGGGTGGAGTGGATGGCGGACGGTCGGGCAAGAGGCGAGGGGCTGTGAGGGCGGAGTGGGGTGCCCAGGCCTGTTAGCTGGTCTGCTGTCAGTAGCGAGCCACTGTCCCTCCTGGTGGGCTCAGACATCCACAGACCGCCGTCTTCCCTCAGTTCACCTCCTGGACACGGAATAAAAACAAGAATAGAAACCTCTGTGAATACAGTGTGATGCATCTGATCTGGGATGCTTCCAAGGAGTAAACCCACATACCTGATTCAGTGGCACTCTTCAGACAGGAGAGGGCAGCACTGAGTCTGGCACATTCCTCTGAACTGGACCCGAGTCTTCTCATTGTATCCCTCACCTGAGCACCGGTCATCTGCAGTAAGGCATCCAGGGACAACTTTGCTTCCACTGCCTGCAGACAAGCAGAGAAGAGGAGATGGAGATAACTGAATAACTGTTTAACACTGTGCAAAAACATAAGAAACATACAGTCTTTTCACTGGGAAGTAGGAATATGAAGATCAGTAGTAAATAAAGTCACCAGAATGATTTTTGATATTTGCTAAATATTCAGAAATATCATGAATATTGATCCAGCCCTGGACTCTTCTTAACTGCTTCCCAACTCTAGTGTGTCCATAATAGAAGTGACATTTGAGTCCCAGGATAAAACAAAGACTATGCTTGAATTTGTTTATATAACATCAATGAAAAACTAAAACCTGTGAGTCTATTTCTTCAGCGTGTGCAGCATTCTGTATCAGTCAGCATTAAAGGGTCAAAATGTTATGGCACTAAATAGGTTATTCAAACCTCAGCATGTTTCCTGGAAAAGAAGTGGTAATGCTGTTTGTTTGTGGTATTTCAAATACTATCTGACTATCTGCAGTTTGTGCAGTGCAACACAGTTTCATGCCTGCAAGATGTAGAAACAAATAATACGATAAACCCAAGACCAATAAAACTCAAGATCATGCATGAAGTTAAATTTTATCAGTGTCAATCTTTTTGATGAAGTAAAGCGCAGAAGGATCATTCTGTCGAGGTGAAATAAACTTTGACAAAGGTAAGAGGATGTTATACATATAATGTGAATGGAACCATATATCACAACATTGTGCAAGTAGGATATTCCATTAATAAAGCAGACCACATAACACTGACAGGCTACAAGTCAAGATAATAGGACCCCAATGTATTTTTAATATATTGATAAAACATTTTTTTGAGACATATCCTATTCTATTTAAGGGAAAAGAGATATAAACATTCTCATGTATACATGTGCAGAGCTGGTGGTGAGACTGAATTCACTGCAACCTGCTTTGCAATCATACTGCAGATGAGGGTGAGTGAGTAAGATTTCAAATACATATATAAAGTTATATACATGTGTTTTGCTTGAAACCTGGGATGTTGTATGTAACTACTGACAGTTATCAGCTTATCAATGACATTTTGGTGGGAACTTAAATCTTCTCTCACAGACAGACCATCAGGGTACTGGGTGAGGAATTTACTTTGATAACAAGCTAAAAAAACAAAAAACCACTGAGGTTTGACTGTGATCCTCCTGTAGAGCAGCTTCATCAGAATTTTAATTTGTAGTAACCTCCTCCAAAGAGATTATGTTTTCACCCCTGCCCTTTTGTTAGTGGGTTTGCTTGTTTGTAGGTATGTGGGATGGTTCAGGGAAGAAACCAGTATATTCTACTGCAGAAACGCATCAAGGAACATTTATTTATTTATTAAGGAACTGATATTCATGAGCGTGTTTAATTTGGTGAAGTTTGATTATGTGTCCGTGCTTATTGTCACACTCGTAAAAGGAACCTACATCAAAACTGCCTCTGACTTAATAATGTCAGATCAGTATGTATGGTATTAATTCAGTCTTAATTGAGGATAATTGTCCTAATTGTTAACCTACTTCCAACTCTCTTGCAGTAAAGTACTTAGACCTTCCTCTATTTTCTCTTCTTATCAGCCTTTCATGAGTTTAATCTGTTAACGTTCATTTGCTGTGACAGTAGGCAAAATAACAGCACAAAAAAACAACTCGTGTCGTTGGACTCTCTGGAGCACAGCAGGAAATGGGAGATATTCAGGAGATTGTACTGTGATTTTCGGATGTTTTTTTGGAAAGGGAACTGCGCAATTGCTTATCGTTGAGGTTGAAACCTTGCTCTGAGAGGGCAAACACTGATCAGAGAAGTAGGGCAAGCTCCCACACTATTTAAACACAGTTAGCACACAGTCAGTGCGCATGCACACACACACAGTCAGTGCGCATGCACACACACACAGTCAGCACACCCAAAAACACACACCAACAAACACAAGGGGGAGTTGATGTGATATTCAAAAGTGCTCCCTTCCCATCTCCTCACTCATAATATTACAATGTTAACCATGAACGACATAGCTTGCATACAGGATTGCTAATACAGGGGTCTTAATGAATAACAATGTGGTTGAACCGTCTTATGTATTGGAATATTGAGAAGCACACACTGTCGTTAAACTAAGCACTGACAATAGGGATGAAATGATTACGAGTAATTCTCAATAGTTAGTTGTGCCGTTGAATATTTAATTACAGTAATGATTTGGATAGCATGTCTCCTAGATGCAGGCAGAGCAAGCAACAAGAAAGTGTTGTAAAAACATGGCGGAAAAATATGATAACATCCACTATAACCAAATTGCGTGCGTTCAACGATCCCTGATTTTTCATCCTGACTCTGGCGTTTGGTGTCGACGTCTGCACTTAACGAGTCGACAACATTCTATGCTCTGCTCCGATTAATAACCATCATTTTTATTTACCATAAATATATTATCTAAATGTAAGACTTTAAATTACTTTAGTTTTTGTATCAGTAATTTTGAACATTAACCCACATTTGAACAATAACAATCATCATATCATCTGCAACTAAAACAGAACAAGAACACTCATGAACTAGAATAACCACTTTGTTGTATGCCTCCGCAAACAAGGGACGGGCAACTCATAAAACTCTAAAAACATAATGTCTTTGGCAACTGGCCCTTGTCGGCCTGGACGCATAACAAAGTACAGTTTAGTTTTACAATTTAGGAAAGTTTCACAAGCCTGAATGACTTCATGTAATACCTCCCTGTCAGTTGCAGCATATGAGCACAGAGGGTGCATTCCAGTATTTAAAAAAAAGACTAAATACAGTCATTACAGCCATCTATTACATAATCCAGGCCTCTTAGTATAGAGTGAGGTCATGCTTTGTAGAAATCTCAATCTAATAATCTTTGATCTAAATGGGTCATCACCACACGATGACGGCTCTGCATCTTTTGAGAAACCCCTCACTGGTATACAAGATATATAAATGAGTGTTTTGACTGCACTATGAAAGAAGAAGGTTACTGGGAAATTCCTTAAAGAGGAAATGGCAAGGTTAAAAAGGAAAAGCATAATAATGCACAGAAAAGCAAAGAAGCATTTTAAAGAACAACAAGAGCAGAACCATTTAAAATGAGCCGATCAGAGTTAGGTCTCAGAACAAAGACAAACAGAGACAAGTCATGGAAACATACAGGAGCTGAGAGGGATTTACAACAGTTTACAGCAGCACAGGAGCGAGCAGCCAGTGGATGGAGAGAACAGAATATGACAAACAATCATGTTCTGGAAAAGATGAAGGAAAAGAATGAATGTGACGTGTTTCTGTCAAAAGGCAGATCGTTGGGATCCAGCTGCTATCACTGTAGATTCCTATGCAGAGGAATCAAGTAATTACTTTGAGAATCTCATAACTTAGAAAAAGATAAATAACAAAAAGAAGAAGTAACAGCCAAATCTGGTTCTCTGCACTGGCTCCCTGTCACTTACTGGATCACTCTAACATCAGTGCTCCATCAGGCCCTTACATATCTAACTGCTTCTGCGCAATTATTTAAAAGACAGTTAAAGACATACCTGTGTAAATCAGGTGAACTCAATGATATGCTTATTAGTGTGTATGTGTGTGTTTGTTGGTGCAACTCTGTTTTCAACTTGTAAAGCACTTTGTGACTTCTGTTTTCTAAAAGTGCTATACACAAATAAGCTTTACTTACTTGATTGAAAGTGACCAGTTTTTTTTAGCCGCAAAAAGTGGGAAATGTTTGATTATCAATCACATTGTGTTATAAAAGTAACATGGCACTCGCCAAGGCCCAACAGTCTTCTTTTGAAACCACACTGGATCTGCACCAAATTGCACTTATTCATAAATACCAGGACCCTCATTTATAGTTTGCAGGATTCATAGTAAAAGTGTACCTGCAAATTCAGATTTATAAAAGTGTGCGGTCTTCGGAGGTCCATACATTATTCTCAGAAAAATCCAAGGACAATTGAACTTTCTTCTGGGTCATGTCCCAACCCTCCACCAAATTTCAAAGAAATCAGTTGTATAGTTTTAGTGTAATCATGCTAACAGATGAAGATAGTAAGAACTGGAGTGATAGGGTGCACATGGATTAAGTATCGTTTACTGACACTCATTCCCAACAACTGGTGGACTTTCAAGCACAAGAGACAGTGCTGGTAGCTCTGATAAAACATTTTAATTTCAATAGTTCATGAAGTTTGTTGTAATCTGTAGAGTAAATATCCACTGAGCTCAAACACTCTCCAGTCACACTCACCTGATATAATAGGCGACAGCAGCTACAGTGGTTTGTTTGAAGAAGGACAAGTTTATCTTGTCTAACTGATAGTGAGCAGTCCCTTCACCTGCCATATTAGTCTCATGAAAGATGTTTTGTATATTGCTATGAAAATTCAGCTATAGAGAACGATAGCTTTTCAGAATGAATCAGTTCAAGTTCGGATATGTTGCCGCTGTCTGCAGCCTAAATTATCCTGATAATGTTATAAAAAATGACTGAGCTTCTCTTTCAGAAAGGCATTTTGATGGCTGGTCAAATATTCCTCATGCACATGTGAGCGCAGACTGTGCACACATACTGAATACAGATAAATGTCACACACACATTAGTCACCCAGGCCGTAGGTGGGGAGGCAGCGAGAGACACCGACATGCACACAAAACAACAAGGCCCGTACCACGGTGAGCTCCGGCCGCAGGTTGATGGTGCGTAGCCAATCTCGTAAGTGTGGGTAGCTGTCCAGGGCCTCGGGCCTCTCCGTCTCCGGCACTTTCTGCTTGCACTGCAGCTGTTTACAGATGTATTTCATCAGCTTCACCTGCAGGGAGCAACAGAGAACACAGTTAGGAGGGGAGGGGAGGGGCAGGATAGAGCAGAGACCTGCAGCCTGCAGCTAAGGCCTTCACTGAGGAGGATGTCCTCAGTGTCAAACGACCTAAGAGGGATGACAAATTATGCAGTATATGTATTTTATCATGTATTCATAGGATTTTTTTAATATAAAGCTGTGGCGATGATTGCTTCAACAAAAGTGACATGCAGTCGAACATTATCTAATTCAACACAATAAACACTAACCTCATGCAAATACATCCTGAACTCAGTACACCTGCAGTAATGACTCCAGTGTTTGTTTAACCCCATTTCCCAGTGTCCCCTGTGCACATGACTGTTAATTAGGTATAAACAGCAATTATTGTGCAGAAGAAAAACAAGCTGGTCATCTAATGAGAGCATCTGTGGTGCTGGCACGGTGAACGAGGATGCAGCTCAGTGACGTCAACAACGTCGAGAGAAGTGAAACTTTCCAGTTCTGGGCTGCACCATCACTCTAGGGAAAGTATGGTGCAGACTCAACCAGACTGGGTGGCGTAAAACACGTTACAGCTTGAAATTGTGGACATGTGCCTAGACACAGGACAAAGCTTCCTTCGTCTCCTCCAGAGAGCATCCCCTGCATCTCCACACTCTGGTGGTTCTGCTAATGAAGCAGGGGAGTGAACGGAGGAAGGAAGAAGAGAGAAGAAGAACGACTAAAGCGTCTCTGGCCGAGTGTAGTAGCTTTCTGATGCCCTGCTGAGACCTTTTGCTGTAGTGTCACATGGCACGGGACATGCCATTTAATATTGGTGGAAACAAACTAAATCCTACTGCGCTTGGAAGCCTGACTCATCACAAAAGACTTTACACTAGTACCTACATATATAATCACATTTGATTCTTTTACTTTTGATATATAAGCAATTTACAGGCTAATTCATAGTGTACATGTACCAGTGCGCTTGAGTCCGCTAAGGTCCATGTGACGGAAATCTCATTCTTACATCTATCCAAAATTTGTGACAGCGTCGATTGCACATCCACCAAGTGCAACATCACCACATGTCCCATGACTTTATTATCACCATAGACAACTCTGTGGTAGCCCCCACCCAGACCGCAAGGAACCTGGGCGTGACACTCAACAGTCAACGCTCCCTTACTGCCAACAATGCTGCAACAACCCGACTGTGTAGATACATGTTGCAAAAACATCAGGAGAATACGTCCCACTTCACTGGTTACCAGTGGCTGCCTGTATCTGCTTCAAGACACTTGTAATTACTTACACCTTGTCCACTCCGTTCTGCATCGGCCAATCGGCTTGCTGCCCCCTCACTGCGAGGGACATCTATCCACTCAACAAAATCATGACTGTTTGCTCTCCTGGTTCCCAAATGGTGGAATGAACTCCCCATTTGACATCAAGACAGCAGAACGTCTCTTCTGACTAGACCTTGGTTACGAGGACGATGGTCTAATAATTATAAAACTAATTTCAAGTTGCACTTACATGTAGCACTTTGTAGTTTGGCTTTTTTGGCGCTAATATACTTGATGATTCTTTTTGTTCTGGGTTTGTTCCCTTGTAGGTGGATGCATTTACTGGAAGTCGCTTTGGCTAAAAGTGTCAGCCAAATGATATGTAATACTGGATTGGACTAGATTGTGGGATCAGGTAGGCTCGCGTGGAAAAAACAGACTGATGCTGACCCTCGTTCTAGCATGAATGGAACTGTGGGCATGTACACGTAACCAGAACAAGGGTGGACAACTCTTTAGTCTCCACAAATGACTAGAGCGTGAACTCTGTTGTAATGACGATATGAGCCTTTCTCTGAGTGGTTGCTTGTCTCTGCACGTCAGCCCTGTGATACACTAGCAACCTGTCTGGGGTGTAACCCGCCTCTCACCCAACCTCAGCTGGGATTGGCTCCAGCTCCCACCAATATAAATAATTAATGGATAGATGGATGATGCAGAAAAGATGCACATTTATTTTTATATTTTACATTAAGATAAAGTTAGTTTTCTGAATTAAAGCTCTTTATATTTTGTTTCATTTAGTTTCTTTTTATTTAAAGTTATCTATAAATAAGTTTATTGCTGTAAAATATCAAGCCTCAATTAGATTCCTTTGTCATAAGGGATTGATGACATCTTAGGAATCATTACTAATTTACCAATGTATATATATATCTGCTGATATATCGGTATCAGAATTTTTTGGGTATGAAATGCCAGAAGGTGTGAGACAACTCAGACTCTTTCTAAGCCAGTGACAAACACAGTTTTCTTGTGAGTAAGTATTACAATGAACACCATGGTGTTGGTTTGCACAGGCTCACCTTGTGCAGCTCAGCACAGCCCTATAGTGTGTCTCCTTATCTCACGGCCTATCTGAGAGAGTCCATTACAGCAGGCAGCACCTTCAGATGAGCCGTGCGACACCAGCTATAGCTGTTGACCCAACGTGCACCTCTCGAGTGCCTGAGCGACAACGAAGAGGCACGCGTCTTTTTCTGCTCTTTCTCGTCGACTCTCCAAACGGCAAATAGAGAGTCATGCAGCAGTGCTCATCTCAGAAAGTGTGGCCTTGGGGATGTAAAAAGAAAAAGGCTGATTCGTAGCAGCAATAACAGAAGCCTCTCCACTGAATGCAGAAAGAGAGAGAGGGGATTGTAAGGAGGTGAATGCTCTCTGGGTCTATTGACGGCTGCTGCTCTGTTCTGCAGTTACTCATCAATTACCAGCTGCACAGAGAGCATTCTCCAATAATAAACAGTGCAATACTGAGTGTAAATGAATAAAACTGATTTCTAAACTAACAGGCAAGAACTATAAAAGCCGTATATAAGCACAATTTTCTTGGACAGATACCCAGCAAAGCACATAGCAAATTCAGTATTTTAAAAGTTGGTAAAAACCTAGACGGTAAAAGAATAGATTAATGAGATGATTAAGATTTCATCATGTATGTTGGATAGAATTAATAGAGTTAGAAATACAACTGAGATGTGGGAAATCTTCTGGCCTCAAGTTAAGCTGAGCCTCAATCAATCAATCACACTTTAGCACTTTACAAACAAATACAATGTACTGTGCTTCATATGAAAATAACCCTGCCCCTGCACATACACACAAACATACACTCAAGCACAGCACACATTTAAACCAAGGGCTTAAGGGAGCACTATGAGAAAAATAAAATAGAATAAAAAACAGGAAGTGAGGACCTCTCGAAGTCGCCCCACCTCCCATCCAAGAGGCCTCCCCAGCCACAACGGGTTCTAGGCATAGAATCTTAATATGAAATAATATTCACAGAGAAAAATCTTCATATCTAAATTATTGGCTGTACAACCGTGTTCACTGTTTTATTTTATTTCATTTTATGTCAATGGCAGGTGGCTACTGTGTAAATCATCTATACTGTATTTGCGAAGTGGTATGCTGCACTATTTTGGGGCACAACAAATATTGAATGACTGTTATATGTTTGGTCCAGGAGATAAAAAATAAATGCAAAAGAAAAAAAAAAAAACATTCACATATATTGTGCATAAATGTAAACTCCCTGTCCTTGCACATTGATGCCTCATCAAGCTTTAGTGAATTAAAACATAACCAAAACATTTGGTTTTAAAACAAGTGTTTTGTTTATCTGGTGCACTGGTATCTGTAGAGTTTGAACCTCTGTTTAGCTGCACGCATTTGACCTTTGAGGCAGGCCTGTGAGAGCAGCTCCTTCTATGGCTGGAAGGGAGGGACAGGCAGCCCCCTCCCCCTCTGACATTCTCATTTCTACACATTTGGGCTGAAGACACATGTCCAAGTACATGGGAAATATTCATTTACATTTACACTTCAAAATTCAGTTACACCGCTTCAGCGTGCTCTCGTCACCTGTGTAAAAATCCCACAGTAGAAACCCTGCACTCAGTGTGTCTGAGCGTACCTCCTGCTTTTCCTCCCCACTAGTGCAGTGCTGTGACGTCAGGTTACCTAGCAACTCCTCTTCTGAGTCGTCAGCAACATTTCAGTGGGATTTTCCCATACGTGTGAAGCACGGCGCTCAGACACAATACATCTCGACATACAAATGTCAGCGTGCATCTCTCTGCAGGACAATGACTGTGGTGGCTTCAGACACATGACTGACACTTTGACTTCCACACACACATTCTCTTTCACCTATCGTCATCCTAAATGAAAGTGAGGTGGACAGGATTACACAAGCACACGTGTCCCCAAATCCCTCCCTCATATCGGTAATGTGCGTATTTCTGCTGCGAGCACGGGTCAGGCAGACCGAGAGATAACGACAGGCCCACCCCCCTCCTTGCATCTTTTGCTGCAGCGTTTGACGTGTGGCCTGGGGGTGGGAGGAGGAGGAGGAGGAGGAGGAGGAGGAGGGGAGAACGGCGTCTGATCCCACCTGTCGGCAGAACTAAACAACGCCATGGCAACGGCCTAATGCCGCCAGGGGATGAGTGACAGCCGGTGTGCCAGCTAGCAGAGAGCGAGAGATGGGAGAGGAGTCCCAGCAGCGGCCTGCTGCCTGACGCAGCAGACTCAGGGAGAAGATCCCACTGCTCCAATTGTTTCCTCAAGGCTTTTGCTGACACATCCACTTTGGTGCACCTGACATATCTGAGCAGAAGTGAGCAGCGACACTCTGTCCCGGAAAACGATATTTGTTCAGGAAGGTCAGCTCGTTTTTCTTGAACTAAAAATGCACATTGTTTCTTGTTTCATCAGAGCAGACTCGCTGAATAAGAATGCAGCTTAATCACTCAAGTTGGATTCAACATTATTCATCAAGGCAAAACCAAGTAAATCATTGAAATTTTTCAATAAATTATTGATGAAATGTATTTTTGTAAAGCCCATATTCCCAAATCACAATTTCCCTCATAGTGCTTAAAAACGTGCGACATCTTCTGCCCTTAACTCTCGACATGAGTGAGGAAAAACTACCTCAAACCTCTTTTAACA